AATTATTGATTGCTTTGGAGATGAGTACCTACGACAACCCACTACAGAAGATCTTCAACGGCTACTCGTTATTGGAGAGATTCGAGAATTTCCCGGGATGATGAGAAGCATTGATTGTATGCATTGGGAGTAGAAGAATTGCCCTACCTCTTGGAAAGGACAATATACATGTGCCTCTGGAAAACCAACAATCGTTTTAGAGGCTGTAGCTTCCCAAGATCTTTGGATATGGCATGCGTTTTTTGGACCTCCAGGTACTTTAAACGATATCAATATTCTAGATCGCTCTCCTATTTTTGATGATATCTTAAAAGGGCGAGCACCAGCAGTGAATTATACAGTCAACGGGAACGATTATCATTTGGGTTACTATCTCACGGATGGCATTTATCCTAAATGGGCTACCTTTATCCAATCTATTTCACTTCCACAAACTGATAAAACATCTTTATTTGCAACACATCTAGAAGCTTGCCGTAAAGATGTCGAGCGTGCTTTTGGAGTTTTGCAAGCTCGATTTGCCATTGTCCAAAATCTTGCTCTTAGTTGGGATAAGGTAAAAATAGGAAATATTATGCGAGCATGTATAATACTTCACAATATGATAGTAGAAGACGAACGAGATAGGTATACTCAGTATGATACTACCGAATTCGAACAAGCGGAATCTGCAAGAAGTTCACAGGTGGATTTCACATATTCTACAGATATGTCTTCTAATTTCTTCGACAATAGAGCTCGAGTTCGTGATCGAGGTATGCATCAACAATTGAAGAATGATTTGATCGAGCATATATGGACAAAATATTCCAGAAATTAAGTTTAAAACATTTGTGCTTTATGTTATTTATGTTATAAATTGTATCTCAGGTATGTTTTAATTTTTAATTTGCAACAATTATTAAATTTTCTATAATTATAAATTTTATTTTTATATTAATATTTTTTTTCTAAGAAACACATGTTAAGAGCCTACCATTAATCACACACAAATCTTAACTAAAAAATACCGTCTCTTAACGATCATTTTTACAAAGGTATTTAACTATCATTTTTACAAAGGTATTTCTAAGAGACTAGATATAATCATGCTTAGGCCTGGGCAAAAAACCCGGACCCGATACCCGAACCGATACCCGGACCGAAAAAATCGGGTTGGGGCGGGTTAGGGTATTAGAAAATTACCTCATTGGGTAGAGTATTGGATTACCCGTGGATATCGGGTCGGGTTGGGGATTACCCGTTACCCATTTAGGATACCCACAAACCCGAAGAAATACACATGTTTATATATGTATATAGATAATTAGATATATAGTATTATATAGTTATATACTTATATGTATGTCCTAGGTTTTAGGTTTTGTGACTTTTGATGTTTGAGTTTATATATGTATATAGATAATTAGATATATAGTCTTATATAGTTATATACTTATATATATACTTATATATATGCAATACACATATGTTTATATATGTGTATAGATAATTAGAATCTACTCTTAACACTTAAGAGTGAAATAGTCATCTTTGTTATTTTGGATTGGATTTAGTATTTAAATGTCATGTTTGATGTTCTATTCTCTTTATTTGATCATTTGAGTATGTAAAGTGATTTTAAACTTCGGGTATTACCCAAACCGACCGAACCCGACAATACCAGAACCGGACCGGAACCGAAACCATAGAAATACTCGAATGAACTATTAATTCATTACCCATTCAACCCGAACCCGAACGGGTTTTATCCGAACCCGAACGGATTACCCATATGCCCAGGCCTAGTCATGCTCTTAGGTTTCTCCCACACGCTCTCTTCTTTTTCTTCGAACTCTCCATCTTTGTTTTCTTCTTCGATTGTGAGAAGCCATAAGAAAGGGTTCGATTGCTCTCTATATTTTTCATTGGGTTTGGGTTCGTGTTCGTCTCTAATCCATCCCTAAAGGTGAAGTGTGTTAGGGTTCGTCTCAATTTAACGACCTGGGTTGGTGTTTTCTTATACATAATTTGGTGGGTTCGTGTTAGATTATCGAAATTTTGGTTTCAAACTTGTCCGTCGCTGGAAAAATTGAATTTTGTGTAGCTATGAATTAGTTATTTGAATTAGTCATTTGAATTAGTTTCTGAATTAGTTAGTTTCTGAACTAGTTTCATTCAGCGGTGTTGTTTCATTTGGTTGTGATTTTGCATGCTTTGAGTAGAGGAATGGATGAATCTTATGATCGTTCTCTGTGATGGGTTGCAGGGTATTTGTCGGATTGGTGTTTGGTTCGAAGGGTACGGACGTGATTCTGTCTATGGAGTATCTCTGATGCGACCGTCCTAATCCGATACTCCAAGTGAGTTTGATCTTCGTTTTGTTTGATCTATTTAAGGAACAGAAGAATCAATAGCTATAGAATCTTTATAGGCATTGAGTCAATCCCGCAGCCAAATCTCTACGTTTTTCTTGTTCTTTGGTTTGGGTTTCAAGAGTTGGTGATTAGACTTCTTGGAGTCTAAGAGATTCGTTTTTGAATTTGAGATATAAGATGATATATTATCAGAGGAAGCTAAGTACTTACATGTGAGATTTACACAGGTTTTGGTAAATATTTGATTAGATAATTTTATATCTCTCGCAGCAATTCATGTAAAATAGTTCTTTGTATATGTCTAGTGTTTCCATTTGATAATGAAATACTAGTGTTATTAACTCAAAATCCCTAGTTGTGAGGTAGTGTTTTATTCGCTATAGGACGATTTGCTTGTCGTTAATTGTTTTTTCGACTTGCAGTTTGGTTTACGCTTTCCGGAAGTTAGAAAATTCTGTAGGTAAGATGTGCTCACTTAATTTTAGACTTAAATGTTTGTCCCTTGTTTTTTTTATGGGTTTAGTTTATGCTTTCTGGAAATTTTGTCGTTTTTTTCTGGCTTTGCTTCCGGAGGTTTCAGTCCTGCCGGCTCATGTAATGTGTCTAATGTGACAATTAATAAATTAACCTTTGTGAAAAAAAAAATCGTTGAAGATGCTTAAGATAGATGTATTTGGTGTCATAATATCCAACTCACATAAAAACCAGTGGATAAGAAGATAATTCACAGTAACACGGTCTGAGCTGATTTCGTATCGTGGAGTCCATTTCATTTAGTTTATAACATCTCTGTGTTCTTGTCTTTCATGCACACCATCCAAATCCTCACTTGTTTTCTTAAATGTTGCAGGAATCAGGGAAAGTAAGCATTTTTGGCTTACTTCTGATTTGGGTTCTTCTTACTTATAGTCCTCTCACTAGTCAACATGCTTCTGGTTTCGCCTGCTTGTAGAGGTGTTTATCTTCAGACCATAGATCCAAATCCAATTGATTTTTCAGCCAGAGGCTCTTATGCAAGTTGCTTTCAGGTAACCATTTCATCTCTCGTCACTTTGATCTTGATGATTCCAGTCTTGAAGTTGTAAAGTTTGGATTTTTCTTTTATATGCAGATTCCTCGTTCAATCCCTAAAAGGGAGTGCTCGATGAGGTTAAGAACCATAGTTTGTTTCAATCAGAATCTTACAGAGCACACAAGTTTCAAGAAACGGCATGTATCTACCCAGAATGTGGATCTTCCTCCTATTTTACCAAAGAACAAGAAGAAACCTTATCCTGTTCCTTTTCAGCAAATTCAAGAAGAGGCTAGGAAAGATAAGAAGCTTGCTCAGATGGGTATAGAGAAACAGTTGGAACCTCCTAAAAATGGATTGCTAGTTCCCAATCTTGTTCCTGTGGCGTATCAAGTGATAGATAACTGGAAGTTGTTGATCAAGGGTTTAGCACAGCTTCTTCATGTTGTTCCCGTGTTTGCTTGTAGTGAATGTGGAGCGGTTCATGTTGCCAATGCTGGTCACAACATTAGGGATTGCAATGGTCCAACAAATTCACAGCGACGTGGTTCTCATTCATGGGTTAAGGGTACCATCAATGATGTTCTCATTCCTGTTGAGTCGTACCACATGCATGACCCTTTTGGGCGGCGGATTAAGCACGAAACACGGTTTGACTATGAAAGAATCCCAGTACTTGTTGAGCTATGTATTCAGGCTGGAGTTGAGATCCCTGAGTATCCTTGTCGCAGAAGGACACAGCCAATCCGAATGATGGGGAAGAGAGTGATCGATCGAGGTGGATATCTTAGAGAGCCTGATAAGCCTCAGACATCATCATTATCATCTCCACTTGCCGAGCTTGACACGCTTGGAGCTTGTGAAAGGCATCCGCCTCCCACACCAGAGGACATACCTAAGATAGCACAGGAAACAATGGATGCTTATGAAAAAGTGAGATTGGGGGTGACCAAATTGATGAGGAAATTCACGGTGAAAGCATGCGGATATTGTTCTGAAGTGCATGTAGGACCATGGGGACATAGTGTGAAGCTGTGCGGGGAGTTCAAACACCAATGGAGAGACGGGAAGCACGGATGGCAAGATGCTCTTGTGGACGAAGTCTTTCCTCCAAATTATGTATGGCATGTGAGAGACCTTAAGGGAAATCCGCTAACCGGAAATCTCAGGAGGTTTTATGGTAAAGCCCCTGCTTTGGTTGAGATTTGTATGCACAGTGGAGCTCGGGTTCCTCAACGTTACAAGGCCATGATGAGGCTTGACATCATTGTTCCTGATTCACAGGAAGCCGACATGGTCGCATAGGTCCTTGGACATGTTCATAGTAGAAAACCATTGTTAGGATAAAAAAGCATCAAAATATGGTTGATAATAAAATGAGCTGGCTAACTAGGATCTTTCCTCATAGGATACGTTAGAAATCTTGTCATATAGTGTATTTTACAATTTGGGTGTAAAATATTTTAGAATCCTGTGTATAAATTAGAATAGTTGACTTTAAATTAAATATTTGTTTGATTCTCTGTTCTCGACCCGGTCATTTGTTATTATAATCTAGACGACCTCAGTGGTATTTGTTTAATGTATTTCGTTGTTTTGAAAGATTTTAAAGATGTTTTGATCCAACGATTAGTTGTTGAAAAACCAAATGATGGAAAAGGATTTCTCGTTGGTGCGGAATGAGGAAGAAGAAGATAACAGGAATGGGGCGAGTTATTTGTCAGTGGAGATGATGAAGAAGGTGAGTTCCATGGCAGCTCCAATGGTGGCAGTTTCGGTTTCTCAGTTCCTCCTGCAAGTCATCTCCATGGTTATGGCTGGTCACTTGGACGAGCTCTCACTCTCAGCTGTTGCAATCGCCACTTCCCTCACTAATGTCACCGGTTTTAGCCTCATCGTTGGGTTTGCAGGTGCGTTAGAGACTCTGTGTGGTCAAGCTTTTGGAGCAGAACAATTTGGAAAAATTGGGGCATACACGTACAGCTCAATGCTTTGTCTTCTTGTCTTCTGTTTTCCAGTCTCTCTTGTATGGATCTTCATGGACAAACTCTTGGAGCTCTTCCATCAAGATCCTCTAATCTCTCAGTTAGCTTGCAGATACTCAATCTGGCTAATACCGGCTTTATTCGGATTTGCTCTTCTTCAACCTATGACTTGCTATTTCCAGTCACAAGGATTAATTCTTCCTCTCTTCGTGAGCTCTCTTGGAGCTATCTGTTTTCACATTCCTTTCTGTTGGCTTCTTGTCTATAAACTGAGATTTGGAATCGTTGGCGCCGCTTTGTCCATCGGGTTTTCATATTGGCTCAACGTGTTTTTGCTTCGGATTTTCATGAGTAACTCTGCTTTGCATCGTGAAATGAAAAACCTTGGTTTGCAAGAACTCATCTCGAGCATGAAGCAGTTCATCGCCCTCGCTATCCCCTCTGCAATGATGATATGGTACTTTATATATCTACATCCAAGAAAGACAAATCTCAGCAACATTTAGTGCTACTTGCTCTGATCTGATCCTAACTTTTTTTTTGTTGTTTTTTTGCAAGTAAAGCCTGGAATGGTGGTCGTTTGAGATTCTACTACTAATGTCTGGACTCTTACCAAACTCAAAGCTCGAAACATCGGTGATATCCATTTGGTACATACATATTATTTTGTACAAAATTTCAAACAGTCGGCAAGCTTGTGATCTTTCAAACTTTATTCATTGAGCAGCCTCACAACATCGGCTTTGCATTTCGTTCTGGTGAATGCGATAGGAGCATCCGCAAGGTTTTACAGATTTCAATTGTTCACAAGAATCTGATTTTTTTCATGTAAAATAATATCTCTAACCCCTTTTTATCTTGTTTAACACTATAGCACATATGTTTCAAACGAGCTAGGAGCTGGAAATCACAGGGCAGCTCGAGCGGCGGTTAGTTCGGCTATTTTCCTGGGTGGTGTTGATGCAACAATAGCAAGCATCACACTTTACAGTTACCGAAATAGTTGGGGTTATATATTCAGCAACGAGAAAGAAGTGGCTCACTACGTAACCCAAATCACACCCATTCTCTGCCTATTTATTTTCGTTAACAGTTTTCTTGCCGTGCTATCAGGTAAGACGATTATACTTTGTTACATGAAGCCCAAGAAAAGTATATTCAACTCTAGAATTCTTTCATTACTCAGGGGTTGCCAGAGGAACAGGCTGGCAACGTATAGGAGGTTATGCAAGTTTAGGATCATATTATCTTGTCGGAATCCCGTTAGGTTGGATCTTGTGTTTTGTCATGAAGTTGAGAGGAAAAGGACTTTGGATTGGTATACTCATAGCCTCCACTATCCAACTAAGTGTTTTTACCCTTGTCACCTTCTTCACCAATTGGGAACAAGAGGTATATAAATTACTAATCTTCTTTACTTCTTTTTATGGTTATAGTTTTGAATCTGGTTTTGGTTTGAGTTTCAGGCAACGAGAGCCAGAGACAGAGTATTCGAGATGACACCACAAGTCAAAGGCAACCAAAAGACACAAATTATATTGGAAGAGGATACACAAGTTTTACTTAATCATATTACAGAAACTGTTTAAATGTGTAAAACCACTTAATGCAACTCTATTGGTGTACTTCGTTTTAGCATTCTATCTACTAATTTTGGATGCTTTACATTTGCATGATGTGCGATTTTAATGTTTATATATGTTAACTTTGATTGCAATAAATAATGCGTCTTGAGAATATGGATTCTTGTTTTTTAGTTTGTCAGGGCACACTACCCATTTCACTCAATAAGTTCTTATTGGAGTCCAATTTCATGCACATAAACTAAGAGAAGTGACCAAAAACCTTTTGTCCAAATATAGATACTGGTGCGAAGTTATGAATTCCTTAAATAATACTATAGAAATTTGAAAGTTTTGGACGCAATTGTTTCAAAAAACATCCACAAAAAACTATCATAAGTTGGAATGACATAGAGAAGATCAATATGGTAGTCTAAATATTTCCTTTGAAAAAAACTATCATATTTTTATTAGGTTTTTTTTAAAAAATTCTATCAAATAACTCTATCTCTATATTAATTGTAAAGTAGTAAATCTTCAACATGAATATATGAGTTTGTAAACGTTAAATAAAAATGATAATGCAAACATAGTCGCTACACGCTATTAGGCCTGACCAAAAGCAAACCGTGATCGTATTTCGGACCGTAACCGGACCGTTCTTCAACCGTAACCGTATAAAACGGTTAAAAACTGTAACCGTTAACCGTAAAAATAGATTAGTTACAGTTAAAAAATATACTAACCGTAACCGTTAATTAACCGTAAACGTATCAAAACCGTTAGTCAACCGTACGGTTAACCACACGGTTAACCACACGGTTAACCGCATAATTAACCGTGCAGTTAAAACTTTAAATACATAATTATTCCACTATTAAATTTAATGAACTCCACTACTCCACTACTCATTTTTCATAAATCAAATCATAAATAGTTTAAATAGTTATTATTTATACTCAGGTACTCGTTTTTTAATTCTCACAACTTCCTTTCTATAGTATTGTTTGGAATAAGACAATAAGATAATAACTCAATCATTATAATTATGACCATTTATTTAGTTATTCGTTGGTTTACTTAACTAAACAAAATAGCTAATTAACTATAAATATTATAAGCATATAATCACATATATTACATACTATAAAATAAATATTATTTGATATATTATCGTTAAATTTTTTATTCTAAAGGTTAAAAAAATTCCAAGCTTTTGTCTTTGATATTAACCGTATTGTAATAATTAAATAATTGTAACCGTATTTAACCGTAACCGTTGTAACCGTAACCGTATTTAACCGTAACCGTTTTAACCGTATATATAGTGGTTAAGGTTACGGTTAGAGAAAAGTTATAACCGTAACCGGTGGTTAATAAACCGTAATCGCAATAACCGTAACTGTGGTCATGCCTACACGCTAACACTAGCATAACCATCCATATATTTTAGACCAATTTCAAAGAAATGTAACATGTACTTAAGGAAAAAACAAACAATTCTTAAGAAAGAATATGGATAATAAAATTTTAAGAAGGTTTAGTGAGCTACATTTGGGCACAATCAGTCCTCTTAAACGACACAGTTTCAGAAACTGTGTCATATCCAACAAGGAAGTTCATTTGCGCCAAGTTCCCATAGATTGTTAGCTGTTCATTTGCAGTAAATACAAAACAAGACACATCTTCCACTGCAAAAAATATGGGCATTGATAGCAGAAAAACATAGCGCAGTTTTCGCAAATGCTATAATAGAATTTTGTCGGGAAATTAGACTATATAATAGCGTTATTAAAACGCTAAACCTAAATATAACTAAGCGGGAACCTAAAACACGGGTTTCCACCAGCACTTAGTAAAAATTAAGCGCCTTAAGATAAAACACTTAAACTAAACCCTTTTTTCACTTAGTCGGAAACTGAAACATCACTTAGTTGAGAACCAAAAAAAAAAAAAAAAAAAACTTTTTCCCCACTCTCCGACTCTCGAGCTCTCCGTCGATTCTCACCGTCTTTCTTCACAATACTCACCGGCATCTGGAAATCATCAGCTCTGTCACAAAATCGGTAACTATATCAGTTGTTGCATCTCCCTTTGCTTCACTTAGTAGTCGATTCAATTAATTCTAAGTTATGGATCTTGTTGTTTTCAAAATTCAGTTCGTTATATGTTAGGGTTCTTCTTATTTATGGTTCGATTTAGGGTTCTTTGCTAATTTCAATTATATGTTTTCCAGATCTAGCAGAGGACATAACAATTTAAATATTTTCTTTCAAAGGTTAGTCCAAGCGACAAGATTTCTTAGGGCTTCGTTTTATTATACGAAATATAAATTGTGAATGTTTTGTGTATCACACATGTTGTGTGTTGTTGTCTGATTCATTTTGTGTATCACACATGTTCTCTGTTGCTGCTTGATTCATGCTGGATTTGGATTATTGTTTCAACGGTTCTCAATAAGGGTAGCAGATAATGTTGGACAAGTCATGGGTTAATTTCTGCAGGTTTGTTTCTGACTTGTTAAACATATATAAGTTATTGTTGAATTTGTTTACTTGTTTCTGACTAAGTTATTTAACTTTTATTGACATGTACTGAAGAACTGATCCGGCATATGAGAATGGTGCTACGAAATTTGTTAATGAGGTTACTGCTGGTTTACGAGGATCTAAAATGGTTATATGTCCATGTTCAGTTTGTCGCAATGTAGATCGTCATTTAGGCAGTGAAGTAGTATATCATCTAGTAACAAGAGGAATGGATGAGGATTATAAGACACGGAGGGATTGGTATCATCATGGAGAAGTGAATTCAGGGGATGCAGTAGAAAGCAAAGTAAAGCAGTGGAATGATGAGGTTTTAGGGTTATACAGAGCTGCTGAATACTTAGATGAAGAGTTGGCTATTAAGGGTAGTAAGGGTAGCTTAGTTGATTATGCTCATGGTGAGGAACAGGACAAGGAAGAAGATGAGTTCCTTGCAAAGCTAGCTGATGCTGAGACTCCTTTATACCCTAGTTGTGCAAAACATAGCAAGCTGTCTGCGATAGTTACATTGTATAGGATAAAGACAAAGAATGGGTGGTCAGACAAAAGCTTCAACGATCTTCTGGAGAGTTTACCAGCCATGTTACCAGAGGACAATGTTCTACATACATCAATGTATGATGTGAAGAAGTTTCTGAAATCTTTTGATATGGGGTATCAAAAAATTCATGCTTGTATTAATGACTGTTGTCTATTCAGGAAGAAGTACAAGAAGCTTGATGTCTATCCCAAATGCAAAGCTTCTAGATGGAAGACAAACATGCACACTGGTCAGATAAAGATAGGTGTTCCATAGAAAGTTCTAAGGTACTTTCCACTTATACCACGCTTGAAAAGAATGTTTTGGTCTGAGCAACAAGCCAAGGACCTAAGGTGGCACTTCAGTAACAAGAGTAGTGATGGAAAAATGCGTCGCCCTGTAGATTCTGTGACTTGGGAGCAAGTCAATGCCATATACCCTGAGTTTGCTGCTGAAGAAAGGAACATAAGACTTGGTCTTTCTACTGATGGTTAAGTATAGTTGTTGGCCAGTATTGTTAGTTAATTATATTATGGCTCCAGACTTGTGTATGAAGAAGGAAAATGTGATGCTTACCTTGTTGATTCCTGGGCCGCAACAACCTGGTAATAGCATTGATGTTTACTTAGAACCCCTGATAGAGGATCTTAACCATTTGTGGAGCAATGGAGAGGTAACTTTCAACCATAAAAATATCCAAACACAAAATGGAATGGCTTCACAAGCCAACATGAACTCCAAAAGGAGCACGCATACAATAAATTTTAAATAATATATATATATATATATATATATATATATATATATATATATATATATATATATATAAAGTTAAGAAAGATGCATAAGAAATACCTGTCAATATGTGCTTCTTGCAAAGTGACTATAAGACCATATTTCTTCAAGCTAGAAATTCCAAAGCCCACAACTACTCCCGCAAGACCAACAGCTGCTCCTCTATGCTCACCGTACTTACCACTCTCCATTAGCTTATCGAAGAGCCTCAAAAAAAGGGGCAAGGGCCTCCTCCTCCTAACAAGTCATCATTGAAAACAGCGATAGACCTTAAGCCACTAGGAACCAAAGGTATATCAAAACTTGTCTCGGTAAGATCTCAAAATTTGTAGGAAACATACTTGCTTTGATAGCACAAGTGGAGAAAGGCATGTTAAGACTGCTCGTTGCACAGAGTCTGATGGTTTTTAACACCTCCAACAGATTTTCCACAACATTATGGACTTTAGGATCATCCTGCCATCATTAGTGAATATATAAGATAGAGAAGAAAATCATGTGCACCGTGACGAGATTTAAACAAATGATAGGGTACTTTTGCCAAGTGCTTTGCTAGTGATCCAGTGAATATAACAACACCCTCACGAACCAGGTCATATTCCTCTTCATCAGATGCCTACATGATAAGAGATATGATGAAGGAGCTTTAAAGTAATCATGAAACAAACAATGTATCCAGCATGTTTTCAGTTGCTTGTAGAACAAACCTATTTATTTAAATAATTCTCAAAGATGGGGAACAGCAATGAAACGTTTTCCTTGCCATGCTTATGAATAATCATGATACCAGCATTGATCATCTTTCCACGAACATATGTCTTGGGATCAGCCTGCATATGAGATAAACGCTCAGTTTCATACAATTTTCTGAAAGTCAAAAGCTTCCAGCTATAGTTTCTGAAAACAACATAAAATGTGGGTTTCTAGGTGATAAATTGTGAAACCCAAATCCTTTGCAACATGGCTAAGAGGGGGAAGGTTCTTTTATTTGACAAGCATTCATCTGACAAGATGAGAAGAAATACCAGTGCGCGGGATATCAATAAGGTCATAACAGCAGGAAGGTCTTTGTTGTCAATACGTCAGCAGCAGATTGCAGTGCTAAGGTAATTCCTTGCCTTCCCATCCAACCAGCATCAAAGACATCCTTGCCAGACGTCGCATCACGGATGTACAAAGAAATAAAGTGTAAAGAACAATTAATCTTTAAAGAACCATATTTATTGCCACACAAAGTAATAATTCAAGAAATGCAATGACCTGGATTGATGTCGGGCTTTAATGAAGAGAATCTGCCAATGCTTCTGCTGCAGCTAAACGGACATTGAGATTTATATGAGAAAGTGCTTTAAAGATTCCTGAATAATCAGTCCCCAAATCATGACCATGGCCATATATCATCTGCTGATTCAGCCACTGACTGCAAGCATAAAGATCACAGAGCATCAGATGGTGCAACTACGGAAAACAATAACTTTTCCCTAGTCAAGTACACTACGGAAAACAATAGGAGGATAATAAGTTAGAACAATATCAGCAGGAATGGTAAGAAACACACTGGAAAATGAAGGTATCTACAGGAAGTGGTCCTGATCTACAAGATACATATACCTGTGTATAATTCTCTCAAAAAGGTAACTAGCTGTTACAAAACACATGATTAGCAAGACCCATCTCCTCAAGGGCATCTCCTCTTTGAGCATCAGTTCCTGTGCCTCTTCCTTCACCGTTTTTCCTTTGTCTGCAATTATTAATTCGTAGAAGAATATATATATTCTGGGGACATAATATTAAGACCAAAGAGTGCTTCGCTAGATATGTACCAGCTTTCTTGGCCAACTTTGCAGTGTCCCTTCTCCCCGAATTTGCAGCTTCTCTAGCCTTTCTTTAAAAAATGATTAGAAGAAGATATTATTAAATCCAATATGCTACAAGTTGAATAAAACAATGCAAGTACCGGCTCCTGGTTTGTGTACTTGGCACCAATCGTCTGAGCAACATAGATAGCTTGTTCATTTAAAATCATCCCCTCCGGTGTTTGAAAGATCTGAATAAAAACATAAAATATTAGAGTTTTAACTACTCAAAACTTGCAGCTGAACATTATTATTTACCCATTGCACTCTGTATGAAATGTCAGAGTAAAATATTAGAGTTCAACAAGTGTCTAGAGAGAGAGGAATGAAATTCTAACTCCATCATTTACTAAAGAAAGGCGAAGTAAAAGTGAGGAGATTTTCTAAGGTCAGTCTCTCCAAGCATATCATAAGAGAGTCGATCTGGAAGGTCTTGTAGATGCTAGAAAAAAATAAAACATAAGTCATCAGGAAACTATTTAAACGGTATAATCCCTTTGATTAGTAAAACAATTTCCATTTTTAAAAACCATCTTAAACACTATATGTATCCTCTTGTGCCAGAGACACCATTGTGTACAAGGAATATACTGCCGCTTGCTGCTCGGGAGTCTTAGGACTCATTAAACCCATTGGTCCAAGTAGACTCTGAAAGAATCATTCAAATTAATAGTTGATTAGTAATGCCAGGAAACAATTAAAAATTAAAAACCACAAGTTTCGGTGACATAGAAGTCATTAACAGTCGTGAGATTACCTGGCAAACACTTTCTCTATTGGTAGAAAAAGTGTATGAAATGTCAAAGTAAAATATTAGAGATCAGAAAGTGTCTACAGAGAGAGGAAGGAAATGCTAACTCCATAATCTACTCAAGAAAGAAAGAGTAAAAGTGAGGAGATTTTTACCTTACTGTTAGTCTCAGAGCATAATATCAGGAGAGAGTCGATCTGGAAGGTCTTGTAGATGCTAGAAAAATAAAAGATAAGAAGTCGTGAGATTACCTTGCAAACACTTTCTCATGTAGCAACATCATAACCACGAGTTTTGAGACACTTTTGCAATCTCTGCATATATCAGGTGTATATCACTATTAAAAAATTGCAAACAAAAGAAATATGGGTAAGTAGAATTAACCATGTCGAATGACCAATGTCAAGATTACCTTCCAAACATCTTCTCTTGTTCCAGTACCAACTACGCTGGGATGATGCGAGCAGAATATGGCTTGAACAGTCCATGAGCTTGGAGGTCCAGTAACTGCTGCCGATGAAATGACAATCAAAGCCTTCACTAAAACCTCTACAGAAGGGACGAAAGGAGCTTGATGATCCATGGGATTATCTGCGTCACTGCAGAGGTGCCAAGTTAGTTCCTAGAATGAATAAGTCGTTACTGTTAATAAAAAGACAAGATCAGAAAAATAATAGTGATAACATTAGCGATAACTAAACACAGAACAGGTAGCAGGTAGCTGGGTGGGGTGAAAAGAATTTAAGAATACAAAACGAGCTTACCATTTCTACCTGGTTCTAGAATAAACGATTTGGTCCCCAGTTATGGTGGAAAGGAAATCCGAGAAGTCGTCTAAAAGAGTAGTGGCTAGCTGTGAAGTTGCGAGGAAGATATTCGTAACAGAATTGTAAGCTGTTTTACGAACATTCCAGCTTGGATGGCAAACTAGAAAGAGAAGTAACTACATAGAAAAGAGATGAAACATAAGTCCAGAACAGGGAGAAACACGAATTCTCTTAGGCTACCTGTGAGATAGTTAAAACTTCTACAAACAGTTAAACAACGAATCTCACACATTAGGTAGGAGGTTTACCGGGAGGAGTGTTCTATTTGGAGCACCTCAAGAAGGTTGACAAATACTACACAATCATCACTGAAAAGTTTTTGAGGCCTTTCTGTTGTGACATGCAAAATACAAGAAAGAAAACGAAGAAAAATGCAGCACACCAAAAGGTAAGTACCCTGCCATGGTAAAATTAAACTCATTTTGAGATATCAAAGTAGAGGAAATACAATTTACCAGTTTCCACGGTAGAAGAACAACAAGACAATGACTAGTATAACCAGGTTCCGCAGGGGTTATTCTTAATCTTTTATTACATAAGCAAAAAAAAACATGTAAAACTAATCAATTCATGGGCAAAAATAAGCTAAATAACTACTAAATTCAGAATTTGTCACATTCTGTTGGACTCCGAGCAAAACTTGATTAACATCATGCCTGAATGCTTCACCACAAAACAACATTTAGAAAAACAAAATTGGCATCGTGAGTTAGCCTAAAAAAATGAAACCATCTTGCCTGAATGCTACACTAAAGAACCATAATATCATAAAAATTACCTTAATTTTTGAGTCTCTCAATCCATTTGGACCAGAAGTCAACTATAGTAAAATGTTGATCCTTAGACAGAGAAAGACTAAAGGAAGACATTCACTGATGTAGTTTCACATTCACAATGGTCCATGAAATATCTCCAGATGAAGAATGGAAAGAAGAGAACCTCATACAATTCTTTCGTGGACTCTGGCTCCTTAATCTTTGAGGCGAAGGTATTGAAGGCTTTTTCCTCGCAGGATTTATACTTCTTCTGCTCTCTTTTTTTCCTGCATCAAGATTTTTTACAACCCTTCTTAAGATTTATTTTCGAAAAGCTACGGGATTGAAGCTTTCAATGGAGCAATATCTTACCTTTAAACTAGAGTGGAGTAGAGAATGATTAGAACTCTACAACAAGCAATACGAAAAAAAAATGTTATTAGAAACAAAGACAAAAAAAATTAAAGTATGAACTACTCAAAACTTGCAACTGAAAATTAATATTACCCATTGCACTCTGTATGAAATGTCAAAGTAAAATATTAGAGCTCTGTTTAATACCAACTCATCAAAATTCTTTCCCACCACAGTCACTATACTTGCGTTTTCTGGTAGATTACACCGGGTTTGATCTTAGCTCGTATATGTTCCAAGTCTCTTCAAACTCGATGATATCCCAAAAAGAATATCAAAAGAGGATTCTATATGACTATATCTCATACTTACATTATATGGAACTGGCTCTGACTTATAGTAGCGTGAAACAACTCCATGAGCGAGTCCTGAACACAACTCCTAAATTACAAATCGAAAAGAGGATAACATGAATCAGTTACCATATGAATATTTGAAAGGAAGAAAAAAAAAAGGTAAAGCAGATTCATACTTCTATATTGTTTGGTGAAGGATCTGATTCGAGCAAATACTTGGAGTTCAGGTTGTTATCAAAAGCAGCAATAAAAACTATAGATTAGTCCCACATTGGCTTAGCATTATTATTAGTAGATCACAAAGTGTCAATCACACAAACTGAGGTCAACCGACTAAGGTCAAGAATTATCAGTGGATCACAAAGTGTCAATCCCAGCTTCTATTCTGAATTAGGTCAAGAATGTCATTGCAAGGTTCTCATTTGTTATATCGACATATATTAACATAAGCTTAAAGAAAAGAATAACCAGTTAATAGAGAGTCTAAACACAAATTTTGTCTGGTCTTTAAGATTCAGCATAAGAGAATTACCTTCGATTTAAATTTTCTTGCAATATCTTCAAGAGCCTGAGCAAGTTTCTGAAAATCATCAGCCTTGGAGAAGAGCATAACCTGACAAAGGAAGTAAAGAAAAAACAAAGCTTAGATTAAAACATAATCAAAAGCAAACAAAGATAGAACCAAAACTTCTAATCTGAAGCTTAACAGGACTAGAGTAAACCCAAACAGTATTGGTATCAGTCAATTTTGTAATCAACGGAAACTTGTTGCTGCCTAGAAGCTCCAATATCTTCTCCATTTTGTAAGATCCATCTGCATTGCAGACAGGTGTTACCGCTTCTCACGATATAGATAGCAGGAAAATGATCTGATAATAACAAGAGAAGTCTTCAAAATCAGCAACAACCAACAAGCTTACCATATACAGTGTACCTTTCAGCCTCAATTTTAACCATCCCAATAAACACATTACTGCTTTTAAGGTCAGGAATTAGAAGTTTCGCAACATCGTTGTCGCTTGTTTCTAAAAACTGGATTTCATCATCTGATTTTGCAGCTTTCACGAATTCGTTATGTTCAGAACCCTAAGCAAACAAACAACACACATATCAACAGTTACATTCGAAACCGACTCTACATTAATGATTTCCCAGGCTTCAAAATACCTCAAACTTGTTCAGAAATCTCTGAGCTTCAACAACTGAATTAAGTGTAATGATTGGTGCACCAGTCTTCTTTTGCGCCCAAATTACTATATCATCCCTGAAACATTGACCAAAACATATCTCACAAATCTCATAAATGATTCAATCAAAATCAGAACTTGCTCACTAAAGCCAGATTTTAACCTCAAGACATTGAAATTGACAACAAAGAAGCCAAAATTAAAGATAACTTACGCAGAAAATCCACCATTGTAAGTCTGAGAAGTGTGATAAACAAAGAGAAGAAGCGTAGGGAAGCCCTTAATCTCAAGCTACGAAGCAATCTTCGAATACAGGAGATTCTTACCTTACTGTCAGTCTCTCAGAGCATAATATCAGGAGAGAGTTGATCTGGAAGGTCTTGTAGATGCTAGAAAAATAAAAGATAAGAAGTCGCGTGAGATTACCTTGCAAACACTTTCTCTATTGGTAGACAAAAAGTAGCAACATCATAACCACGGGGTTTGCGACACTTTTGCAATCTCTGCATATATTAGAAGGTGTAATAAAAAGAAATATGAGTAAGTAGAATTAACCATGTCGAATGACTAATATAATGTTAAGATTACCTTCCAAACAACATCTCTTTTTCTAGTACCAACGATGCTGGGATGATGCAAGTAAAATATGGCACGAACAATCCATGAGCTAGAAGGTCCAGCAACTGAATGATAATCAAAGCCTTCACTAACACATCCATAGAAAGGAGCTTGATGATCCACGGGATTATGTGTGTCAATACAGAGGTGCCAAGTTAGTTCCTAGAAGAATAAGTCGTTACTGGCATTTAGGTCCAAACCTTTCAAAATGTCAAATGAATCAAACTGTTAATAAAAAGTCAAGATCAGAAAAATAATATGAGACATCAGCGATAACTAAACACAGATTAGGCAGCAGTATACCTACTGGATGGGTGGGGTGAAAAGAGTTTAAGAATACAAAACGAACTTATCATTTGTACCTGGTTCTAGAAGAAACGATCTGGTCCCCAGTTATGGAAAGGAAATCCAAGAACTCGTCTAAAAGAGTAGTGGCTAGCTGTGAAGTTGCGAGAAAGATCTACGTAACAGAATTGTAAACTGTTTTACGAACATTCCAGCTTGGATGGCAAACTAGAAAGAGAAGTAACTACATTGAAAAGGGATGAAACATAAGTCCCAAACAGGGAGAAACGGGTCAGAAAGCATGAACTCTCTTAGGCTACCTGTGATAGCGATTCCAATGAAAATGCTTCAATAACCGTGAAATCAGGCAGGAGAGATAGTTAAAACTTCTACAAACAGTCAAACAACGAATCTCACACATTAGGCAGGAGGTTTACCTGGAGGAGTGTGAGCACCGCAAGAAGGTCGACACATACTACACAATCATCACTTGAAAGTTTTGAGGCCTTTCAGTTGTTAAACGAAAATATAAGAAAGAAAACGAAGAACAATGCAGCAAAGCAAAAAGTAAGTACCCTGCCATGGCAAGAAGAGATCACAGTACCAGAAGAAATATTTAGAAAATATTACCAAAGTAATTTGCAGAAGTGAAGGCTCATTTTGAGATATCAAAGTCCATAGTATCCCCTGGTGTTCAAAAAACAGCGGAAGAAGAAAATAAATTGACTGAATATACTTCTGTTACCATTTACCAGTTTCCATAACAGAGAAACAACAAGAGAATGACTATTATAACCAGGTTCCATAGGGTGTGAACTTTTACATATCATACATGTCATACAAAATGATATAACACCACCGACATAAGAAAAACAAGTGGAGACATTTGTGTCTTGCAAGGCAGCCTTTTCATGTGAATATACATTTGTGTCTACAGTGTAGTACTAAAGACAACCAGTGGAGCTAATCCATCAAATGTACTATTGAATGGATTCACAAGCCAACATGAGCTCCAAAAGCAACACATATACAATAAATTATATATATATATATATATATATATATATATATATATATATAAAGTTAAGAAAGATGCATAAGAAATACATGTCAATAAGTGCTTCTTGCGGAGTAACTATAAGACCATATTTCGTCAAGCTAGAAATTCCAAAGCCCATAACTACTCTCTCAACACCAAACGCTGCTTCTCTACGCTCACCATATTTATCACTCTCCATTAGCTTATCCAAGAGCCTGAAAAAAGGCCAGGGGCCTCCTTCTAACAAATCATCAGAGACAAACGACGATAGACCTTAAGGTATAGAATGATATACTCCTCAGGCCAGAGCAACTAGGAACCTAAGGTATAGTAAAATTTGTGTCGGTAAGATCTTAAAATATGTAGGAAGCATACTTGCTTTGATAGCACAAGTGGAGAAAGGCATGTTGAGACTGCACGTTGCACAAATTCTGATGGTGAATACCTCCAACAGTTTTTCCACAATCTTATGGACTTTAAGATCATCATGCCATCATTAGTTAATATATATATATATAAGATATAGAAGGAAATAAGCAAAAAGTTCACCTACCGCTTCATGCGCTCTTGGTCCCTAGCTGTAGATACAACATCACGTACAAGTTTTATATATGAAGGAAGTACTTCCTTTGGAACTGAACCGATAACCTTAGCCAAAGCTTCCCAGGAAACCTGTTTAAAGAGAATAAGTTAGACAAGACATGCTCGCTTCAACTATTTTCTTTCTGGTCAAGTAGCCTACCGTAACAGTCGTTGAATCAGAATCACTGAGCATAACAATCAAGGTAGATATCATGTTTGGAGCTTCATCAATTAAGTAAAGCTTGCTACTCTTGAAGAAGTAACCAATCAGATATGCGGAACTTCATCTAATTGAAGCCTGAAAACGAAAGATTTACAAACCTACATTACTTACTTACTAATATAAATATACTTACTTAAGAAATTACAAACAAACACTCCTTTGAGAAGTTCTCAACTCCTTCTTCATCAATGACAAGGACCACCCTCTCTTGTGCCAATTCTTGGACTTCCTGCAAAAAGAAAGAGAATCTTAACCATAGATAACAATAGCTTTCATACAAATTTAAGGGTGAAGAAAATCTTAATTATTTACCTTGTTTTCATCTCCCATTGCAGAGAGCAAAATAGGAAGTATGGTCCCGAGATGCGTGTTAAAACCAGCACCAGCAACCTCAGCCAAGGCTCCCAAAGCATGAGCATTAAAAGTAACTCATCATGCTGATGATGCATATGTAGAGAACAGGACAAAAGAAATCACATACGAGAGAGGAAGATGGACAAGCTTGGACAAGATGTGTGGAAGAACAGCTGCTGTCCTAACACTGCAATTACAAAAGTAAATTCAGTAAACCATAAAACTTTGAACTGACTAGGGGAAGAAGAGCCTGAGGAAACAGTAGAAGAAAACCTTATAATTTGTTTAAGTCCATTCAAGGCAGTAGTAGACATTTCATCATCTTCTAAGGCTTCCAGAAGAGTTGGGATAATTTCATCCATTGCTTGCAATCCAGCACTCTTACATTACAAGAGTAGACGAACGATACATATAGAGTGAACTAGAACAATCTGATAAGGAACACAAGTCAGAATAGGTACCTTATACAGAGTGCTAAATGCTAGTCCAGCAGATTCACGAACCTCAAGAGCATTATAGAAGAAAGTTGTAGAAGTTAAGAAATGTTAAATTTTTAATAGCATAAAGAAACATGCGAAATTAGAAGCTGATGCATATAGAATAAATCAAACCTATCACAAAGTGACGTCCGAATTGTGGGAATGAGCTGATCCATGAAACTCAGCAACCAACTCCTCCCAGCAGTTGCCATCACTTCATTCAGGCCAATGCATACATCCTGTCAATCATGAAATATAATATAATATCAAGCTATTAGATGAATAACATGTGCCTGATAAGTCTGCATATCATATTTAAGCAAACAATCCTATGCGTAGCATCAGTTGATTGATATGAAAACATTCTAAGCATCACAAATGGACATAAGACAATGCAGCAGGACACAAATCATGCAGTGATACACAGCTCATTAAAGAGAGATGAAATAAATACATGTCACAATAACTAGAACACAGACACATAAGAAACGGTGGCAGTTCTACTCATAAAATAGCACTGGAAATATTCACTTCATGGTTAGCATGGTCGCAGTAAAAAAATCTACCAAAATAGTTCATCATAAAACCAAAATAACTATGCTCTACGGTGTAACGGTGTAAAGTTTTTGAGAAAGAGAGATAAAATGATTGATTCATCACGAAGCTTTACTTGTCTTTTGTCAACATCTGGGTCGGTCAGTCCCTTAGATAATTTTGGAATGATAAGAGGAAGCACCCTTTCACCAAGCTTCCTAACCAGCTCTCCAAGTGATCTTCCTGCTAGCTACACAGTATAATAGACTCATACAATAAAATATAAGGAAAGAAACAAAAGAAACAAACCTGGTGCCTCTCAGAGGATTGCATTATTTGCTATAGGTTAGCTGTTACCCTTGAACATTGGTCACCACGTAAATACTAGACTACAGGTTTTGAAAGGAAGGATAAACAACAAGAAAAAAGACAACACAAAAAATGCTGTTAACCTTGAACAATAGATCCCCAAGCAGTTCAACAAAATTTGCATTGAAAATACCATCCTCCACAACTGGACGAAGAAGAGGTAGAGACCTGCAAAACCAATGTTAATTACAGGATCCAATCTCCTGATACAAGACCTGAGATCTAAATAAACTCAATTCAAACAGAATTTATCAATGTAATCTACCACAAATTCAAGAGTAACAATAATGGCACCTACTGGCTTAAAAATTTAATCAATCTACGGATCATGTTAGGTCAACATTAGCTAATCTAGTTAACTATGCCAAAAAAAATCAGAGAGAAGCTTATATAGTGTAAATTTATACGTTATAGCATGGTGCTCCACCAGTACATGGCCAGCCCCCAGGGCTGCATCACGAACAGATTCATTCTCATGGGCAAGATCTAAAACATCATAGAGCACCACCAATTTAGTCAATGAGTCAAAACCTAGTTCAGAAGTTAAAAGTCTGCCAAAAAGGAATAGGTCCACCACTCAGAATGGCCGGTAAGACAAGCTGCAAGTACTTCTCGAATTGAGCACCCAAGGATCTTGGTAAGAACTGCGAGTAACAAACAAAAGCTTTTAGAATTTTTTACAAAACTGACATTTAAGGAACATCTAAGGAGCAACTGGTTTCACCTTGAAAAGCGTAAGGTATCCATCTCGGACTGATGCTTTTTGATAAGAACAATGACGAATGAGGTCAGGAAGTATATTCTCAAAGTAATCTGTCCCAAGAGCTGCTATAACCTGAAATATAAGGAGAAAACGTTCCACCAGATGCAGCTACAATTTGGGGAAACAATTGTTAAGCAGATGCTGAGATAAATGATTTCTAAATTTCTGTAATTCCATTTGCCATACACCATACCAGTTTCAAATGTACTTGATTGAAACATTAAAAGAAGGTACCAAATATAGTGAGTACAAAAGCATATATACAGAGACGTTTCTTTAAGTTAACTGTAAATTAAGAGAACAATCAGCTTATAATTGAACAGTAAAACCGTAATACTCATGCAATGATGTATTGGAAAATCGACGTATTGAAAACTGTGAAGATAACAAGATTAAGCTCATAGTATCAAAACACATCTTATTCTACATACCTCACTTAATCCCTGAGCATTGTATCCCATATCTTTCAACATTGCTTGTATCAGAATTTAGAGTTTCAAACAGCCACGGAACAAGATCTGGGAAATTATCCTCTCCCATTCCTCTAATAAGTGACCCAACAGCCCTCGCTGCAACAGAACGTAACTCAGGAATTGGATCCACAAGAACCTGAGAACTCCAGTGTTCAGTTAATAAACATCTTATGCAAAAGACAACTCATTATTTTTGTAAGAACAGCAGTTTATCTTTCTAACCTCAGTAAGGAAACATATCCTTTGGCTCTGTCACAAAAGAACACATATTACCGACAATTTCGAAAGTTTCTTTTTTTGTTTCAGAAATTCTTTCTCTCAATCCTCTATGTACTATTGGTACCAATAGTGCAAGCGAGGGGCCATCAACAGAATTAACGAATGTTTTTTGTAATAAGAGAAAGATTCAGAAAGAAACAGAAAAGAAGAGAAGTATAATCGAACACAATTAAATACGGGAGCCTTACTTGAAGAAGGATGTCAAGAGAATGTCGTGTGTACTCATTGGGATCTGTTAAGGCCTATAGAAGAGTGGGGACAAGAGATGATCTTTATGACACTTCCACCCTAGAAATAATGGTGAGTGGGAACTCTAGTCAGTAAAATCAACCAAATATGAAATTTCTTCTATTATATCAGTCTAACATGCTGAAGTGCTAACCTGTATAATTTTTAACTCAAATACTATCAAATAATCAAGGGTGGAAAAATTATTCCCAGGATTACAGTTAAGAAGCAACTGATATCTACAAGCATACACACCTCTGTAAGTTTTGGCACAGCCCTAGGAAGGCATTGAGACAGTTGCTGAGGAGCAGAAAATGCCATAGCACCGAGGAACTGTGCACTGCTTTGCTTTGTTCTACATGCTTTATCTTCAAGGCCCTATCAGAAAGAATGGAAATGTACTGCCATCATTAGGTATACCCAAGTGTAGTGAATATATAAGATATATAAAAAAAAAGTACTGTCATGTAAGAGCAAAGAATAAATGTAACTAGGTATACCAAGTTTAGTAACTGAACCTTATTTCTAAGGAGAAGCACTGCCATCATTAGTGAATATTTAAGATAGAGAAGGAAATCATGTGCACTGTGTCGACATTTAAACAAATGCTAGAGTTATTACTCTTGCTAAGTGCTCCGGAGAATATAACAACACCCCGAACCAGGTCATATTCCTCCTCATCAGATGCCTACATGATAAGAGATATGATGAAGCTCCGAAGCAATTCATAATAATCATGAAACAAACGGTGTATCCAGCAGGTTTTCAGTTGCTTGTAGAACAAACCTCTTTATTTAAATAATTTTCAAAGATGGGGAACAACAATGAAACGTTTTCTTTGCCATGCTTATCAATAATCACGTTACCAGCATTGATCATCTTTCCACGAACATCTTTGTTGGGATCAGCCTGCACTTGAGAAAAACACTCAGTTTCATATAATTTTCTGACAGTCAAAAGCTTCAAGCTATAGTTTCCGAGAACAACATAAAATGTGGGGTTCCAGGTGAAAATCCTTTGCAACATGGCTTAGAGTGGGAGAGTTCTTTCATTTGACAAGCATTCAGCTGACAAGATGAGAAGAAATTCCAGTGCGCGGGATATCAAAAAGGTCATAACAGCAGGAAGGTCCTTTGTTGTCAATACATCAGCAGCAGATTGCAGTGCTAAGGCAATTCCCTGCCTTCCTATCCAACCAGCATCAAAGACATCTTTACCAAACGTAGCATCACGGATGTACATAGAAAATAAAGTGGAAAGAGTAATAATTAATCTTGAAAAACCATACTTATTGCCACAAAAGTAATAATTCAAGAAAGGCAGTAACTTGGATTGATGTCGAGCTTTCATAAAGAGCATCAGCCAGTGGTTCTGCTGCAGCTAAACAGACATTGAGATTTATATGAGAAAGTGCTTTAAATATTCCTGAATAATCAGTCCCCAAATCATGACCATAGCGGGCCTATATATATATCATCTGCTGATTCTGCCACTGCCTGCAAAAAGCATAAAGATCACAGAGCATCAGATGGTATAACTACGAAAAACAATAGGAGGACAATAACTTTGGGAGCCCCAGACAAGTACATCAATTTATTATAGTTGACACGGCAAACAATGATATAAACAGTATTTGTGTACAATACAAGAAGATAACATAACTAGATATCACATCAAATTATACAGGTTAACCTTTTCAGGGTCTTGTAGAGCTATCCAAATGTTGGTTGCTATATTTAACTTTCTGAGGAAGGGAGCATTTGGAAACGGCAGCGACATCAGCTGCTTGCAATCCAAGACACAATTCATTCACGCAGGTCCAACTGATGCTTGATATGCGGGAACAACACCTAGCACATGATATAGAACCTGAAGAAAATTTAGTTCAGATGTTATATTTGAGAAAGGGAAGCAAGTGGTAAAGAACCTGAAAAATTTAGAACAATTTCAGTCGTCACAAATAAAAAGTGGAAAGAATTGAGCACAATGTAATTGACACTATAACTGAACGAATGTACAGTGTAAAAACAGACAGGATTCAAGTCATTAAACTATATTATCCGGATTCTTGGAAGTGGCAGCATCGGATCTAGATGCATATACAGAATATGAAGCACATCACTATGAAGTTTGTCCGCTTTGATGACAGTAAAATTCGCTCCAGTATCTGGCAAGACAAAATCACAGGTCATTTAGTGATAGAATATACAAGTTAGAATGATGTCAACAGAAATGGTAAGGAACACGCCGGGAAAATGAATGTGAACTACAGGAAGTGGTCCTGATTTACAAGATACGGGTACCCCATTTATAGTTGTCCTCATATGTTTTCCCATCCTTGTCAATTGATGGACGAAAATCAGATGAAGCATCAAGTTCATCAATCGCGGTCAAGCGCAGAGAAGTTGAAATTTCGAGAGCCCAGTTACACAGTGGCTGAACTGTACACCTTGCAAGCATCTCCAAGTTTTCAAAGGCTGCAGCACTTACAATAGGTGATCGCAGCAATGGATCCAAAAAAGTAGCCTGGTAAAGTGATACGGTGAGTGTAAGAGGTTAATCATAGAATTATAGGAGCCTGATATGCCAAAAGAATAATATTCATGTAAATAAACATAAGGAGTATCAGTGACAGTGGCCGAGGAATGAAAAATAATTGTTTCTGAAATCTATTCATTCACTTTATAGCATATGGATATGTAAAACTGTAACTGGCTGTGACAAAACACAGGATTGGCAAGACCCATCTCCCCAAGGGCATGAAGCACCAACGAAAGACTTTTTTGCCGTTTCCTTGCCTCTTCCTTTGCCGTTTTTCCTTTTTCTGCAATTATTAATTCACTGAAGAATATATATATGCTGGTGCAAAATATTATTACTATAGAGTGCTTCAGTAGATATGTACCAGCTTTCTTGGTCAACTTTGCAATGTCCCTTCTCCCCAAATTTGTAGTTTCTCTACCAGCCAATCCTTTCTTTAGAGAATGATTAGAAGTCTACAACAAGCAAAAAGAAGAAGATGTTATTAGATCAAATATATACTAAAAGTGGAACCATATATCAAAATCAGCGGTATGGGAGTTTTTTTTGGAGATAGTCTCAAATTCCCTATAGTTAAAAAATAAGTGACCCAACAGCCCTTGCTGCGACAGAACATACCTCGGGAATTGGATCCACAAGAACCTGAGAACTCCAGTGTTCAGTTAATAAACATCTTATGCAAGAGACAACTCATTATTTTGGTAAGAACAACAGTTTACCTTTCTAACCTCAGGAAGGAGCAATTCTATGTAACGAAACATATCCTTTGGCTCTATCACCAAAGAACACATAGGACGAAGAATCTATGGCTTCGACTTGTTGCCGAGCAAGGTACTTCTCTCTTCTCTCCTTCTGATAGATGACACAATATTTGGTGAATAAATGGGAGAAAGAAGGTAAAACAATGAACAAACCAAAGATTTTAAATGTTATATAGGTATAATTATCTGTTACCCATTCGTCTATGACAAGACCCTCCCCGACCACTCGAGGCCCTGTCTCCACTGCTACTTGATCCTTTTGCTCATCAAACTGCACGATAAACACCCAAAAATGCATCATCGATAGACTTATGCCTAAGACTCTCTAAGACGGAGATGAAAACCTATTTACCAGTTGCAATGTTTCAGCCTATAAGAGTCAAATTTGGCTACAAATATACTCTAAGAGACTAAGATTGAATAAAATTGCCTCCAACAAATTGACTTTTATGTAAACTGATAAGATTTAGAAAGGACCGACTGATAACATACCAACTCAGGCACATACTCTACTCCTGGTTTAACTTTCAGGCTAATAATCTTAAACTTAACCTTGCTCTTCTTGTTCAACTTCTGTTTTTCATTGTTCTCTGGATGTTCCACAAACTTGAAAACTGCACTTGAACATAAACAAGAAGCAAAAATCAGAGGCTGTAATTAACTAGTTAAGAGTACAAAAAACCAAAGATTTCCAGAATCTCGTTACCAGTAGCAAAAACACTCTCTCCTGGAGCCAAAACACCTCCGGGAGGACGCATATAACAACTCTTAGGTGCCGTTGTTTGGAACTAAACAAGAAGATACAGAGTGACTTAGATGGAAAAGCACCAATTATTATATCATTATAACTACATATAGAACAAACTAAAGTCAACAGAGAGTCAACTTCTCTGCATTTGCTTAACTTGTTCCCAAATAAGTATCAAATGCGAGAATCAAGAACCACAAATTTGAAGTGAAGGATACATAAAACTCCATTACCTTGAATGCAGTATGAGATTTGCTAGTATTCTTAAGCTTGATTGCGCTACACACTTGTTTACCAGGTTCATCTGAAATAAACACAAAGCACAAGTTCTAACTTCGTTATCTAAAAATGGAAATCCAAAACTCTAGAGCATCTTGGCACAAAATCACTTCCACAGAGAGCTTCTCTGTACAAAACCAATCAGAATCCAGAACCAAATCAAGAAATTTCCAGAGAACTAAACTTATTCGAAATCAAGCTAAATCGATGGCAGAATCTCTTAACAAAGAAGACGTACAAGGGAAATACAGATAACTTGAAGGATCTAGTCGGAGACGACGGCGAGCTGGAAGAAGTGATCTCGCGACGGAAGACATAGTCAAGGAAGGTGTAGAGACGGGGGAAACATCTGTATTCCGATGTCCATGGCGGCTACGGTAGTTTTGGTTTGGATCCTGTGTTGAAGACGAAGATGAAGAAGTGGTGCTTCTCCTCTGCCAAAACGGACATAGCCTGAAGAGATTCTTCTTCTTCTTCTCCACACTATTTAACTCTATGTGAATATTTTTGGTGCCCCAATAGGGCAGCACCACCGTGAACAGTTACAAAAACTCAGCAAAATATACATAAAAAATATTCAAACACAAACTTGAATGGCTTCAAAAGCCAACATGAACTCCAAAAGCAGCACCTATACAATAAATTGTATATACCATATTAACATATAAATAAAGTTAAATAAAATGCATAAGAAATACCTGTCAATTTAAGTGCTTCTTGCAAAGTGACTATAAGACCATATTTCTTCAAGCTAGAAATTCCAAAGCCCATAACTACTCCCGCAAGACCAAAAGCTGCTCCTCTACGCTCACCATATTTATCACTCTTCATTAGCTTATCCAAGAGCCTCAAAAAAAGGGCAGGGGCATCCTCCTAACAAATCATTAGAGATAAATGACGATAGACATTAAGCTTCATCAAACCGACTGATATACTCCCCAAGCCAAAGCCACTAGGAACCAAAGGTATTATCAAAACTTGTATAGGTAAGATCTCAAAATTTGTAGAAAACATACTTGCTTTGATAGCACAAGTGGAGAAGGGCATGTTGTGACTGCTCGTTTCACAGATTCTGATGGTGTGTTCAACACCTCCAACAGCTTTTCCACAACATTATGGACTTTAGGATCATCCTGCCATCATTAGTGAATATATAAGATAGAGAAGAAAATCATGTGCACCAAGACGATATTTAAACAAATGGTAGAACTATCACTTTTGCCAAGTGATTTGCTAGTGCTCCAGTGAATATAACAACACCCTCACGAACCAGGTCATATTCCTCTTCATCAGATGCCTACATGATAAGAGATGTGATGAAGGAGCTTGTTATAATCATGAAACAAACAATGTATCCAGCAGGTTTTAAATTGCGTGTAGAACAGCAATGAAACGTTTTCTTTGCCATGCTTATCAATAATCATGATACCAGCATTGATCCTCTTTCCACGAACATATGTGTTGGGATCAGCCTGCATATGAGAAAAACGCTCAGTTTCATACAATTTTCTGAAAGTCAAAAGCTTCAAGCTATAGTTTCTGAAAACAACATAAAATGTGGGTTTATAGGTGATAAATTGTGAAACCCAAATCCTTTGCAACATGGCTAAGAGGGGGAGGGTTCTTTTATTTGACAAGCATTCATCTGACAAGATGAGAAGAAATACCAGTGCGCGGGATATCAATAAGGTCATAACAGCAGGAAGGTCCTTTGTTGTCAGCAGCAGATTGCAGTGCTAAGGTTATTCCTTGCCTTCCTATCCAACCAGCATCAAAGACATCCTCACCAGACATAGCATCACGAATGTACAGATAAAATAAAGTTGAAAGAGATAGCGGCAAAACCAATTAATCTTTAAAACCCATACTTATGCAACAAAAAGTAATAATTCAAGAAATGCAATGACCTGGATTCAACAAGCAATAAGAAGAAGATGTCTTTAGATCCAATATGCTAAAAGTGGAATCATGTTTCAAGTGTAAAACAGAATAAGTAGAATAAACCCATGTAAGTACCGGCTCCTGCTTTGTGTACTTGGCACCAATCGTCTGAGCAACATAGATACCTTGCTCACTTAAAAGCATTCCCTCAGGTGTATGAAAGATCTGAATAAAAGCATTAAAAAATAATAGTATTCACTACTCAAAACTTGCAGCTGAAAAGTAATACTACCCATTGCACTCAGAGTAAAATGTTAGAGCTCAGCAAGTGTCTACAATGAGGGGAAGAAAATGCATACAGTAAAAGTGAGGAGATTTACCTTAATGTCAGTCTCTGAAAGCATATTATGAGACAGTCGATCTGGAAGGTCTTGTAGATGCTAAAAAAATTAAACATAAGACATCAGGAAACAAGTTAAACCGTACAATATCTGTGACATTACCATCTTAAAACCGTACATTTGGGATTAGTAAAACAATTTCCTTAAAATACATATACCATCTTAAACACTGTGAATGTAACCTCTGGTGCAAGAGACATCATGGTGGACAAGGAATATACTGCCGCTGGCTGCTCAGGAGTTTTAGGACTCATTAAACCCATTGGTCCAAGTAGACTCTGAAACAATCATACAAATCAATAGTTGATTAGTAATGCAAGGAAACAATAAAAAACCAAGTTTCGCACATATAAGTGATTGACAGTCGTGAGATTACCTTGCAAACACTTTCCACATTGGTAGACAAAAAAGTAGCAACATCAAAACCACAAGTGTTGAGACACTTTTCAGTAGTGACGGAATAATAGTACATTCTTTCATTTTCTAACCTGTACATTTACTAATACTCACTAAAAACCCAAGCATTGCAACATTTATAATAGGCTAGGAGGATGAGAACATTGGTTACCAAGTAAATACTAGCCTACATGTTTTGAAAGGAAGGATAAACAACAAGAAAACACAACGCAAAATATGTTGTTAACCTTGAACAATAGATACCCAAGAGGTTCCACAGAACTTTGACGGATATGCCAATTATCATCGAAATACCATCCTCCGCAGCTGGAAGAAGAAGAGGCAGAGACCTGCAAAACCAATGATGCTTCTATTAACTACAGGATCCAATCTCCTCATACAATACCTGAGATCTAAATAAACTCAATTCAAACAGAATTTATCAATTTAATCTATTACAAATTCAAGAGTAACAATAATGGCACCTACTGGCTTAAAAATCTAATTAATCTACGGATCATGTTAGGTCAACATTAGATAATCTAGTTAACCATGCCAAAAAAATCAGATAGCAGCATATATAGTGTAAATTTATACGCTGTATCATGGTGCTCCACCAGTATATGGCCAGCCCCCAGGGCTGCATCATGAACAGATTCATTCTCATCGGCAAAACCTAAAACATCAATGAGTCAAAACTAGTTCAGAAGTTAAAGGTCTGCCAAAAAGTAATAGGTTTACCATCCAGAATGGCCGGTAAAACAAGCTGCAAGTACTTCTGGAACTGAGCAGCCAAGGATCTTGGCAAGAACTGCGAGTAACAAACAAAAGCTTTTAGAATTTTTCACAAAACTGACATTTGAGGAAGTTATCCATCTCGGACTCATGCTTTTTGATGAGAACAATGACGAATGAGGTCAGAGAGTATATTCTCAAAGTAATCTGTCCCAAGAGCTGCTATAACAAAAGGAGAAAACGTTTACATACCAAGAGTAAAACTGTTATGGAACTAAGTAACAAAGCTTTTACATACCAAAAAAGGTAACTGGCTGTGACAAAACACAGGATTGGCAAGACCAATTTCCCCAAGGGCATGAAGCACCAACGAAAGACTTTTTTGTATCATGTGAACAATTTCCCGTGTTGAGGCCTCCTCTTTGAGCATCAGTTCCCGTGACTCTTCCTTTGCCGTTTTTCCTTTGTCTGCAATTATTAATTCGCTGAAGAAAATATATATGGTGGGGGCATAATATTATTAATATAGAGTGCTTCGCTAGATATGTACAGTGTCCCTTGGTCAACTTTGCAGTGTCCCTTCTCCCCAAATTTGCAGTTTCTCTACCAGCCAATCCTTTCTTTAGAGAATGATTAGCAGTCTACAACAAGCAAAAAGAAGATGTTATTAGATCAAATATATACTAAAAGTGGAACCATATATCAAAAATAGAATAAACCCCATGTAAGTATCGGCTCCAGCTTGTGTACTTGGCACCAATCGTCTGAGCAACATAGATACCTTGCTCACTTAAAAGCATCGCCTCAGGTGTATGAAAGCTTTCAATAAAAACATAAGAAATAAAAGTATTCAAAACTTGCAGATGAAAAGTAATAACTACCCATTGCACTCTGTATGAAATGTTAGAGTAGAATGTTAGAGCTCAGCAAGTGTCTAAATAGATATAGTAAAAGTGAGGAGATTTACCTTAATGTCAGTCTCTGAGAGCATATCATGAGACAGTTTATCGGGAAGATCTTGTAGATGCTAGAAAAATTAAACATGAGACATCAAGGAACAAATTAAACGGTACAATCTCTTTCATTAGTAAAACAATTTCTGCGTATATCAGAAGGTGTATACCACAATTTTTGATACACTTTTTCAATCTCTGCATATATCAGGTGTATATCACTATTAAAAATTGCAAACAAAAGAAATATGGGTAAGTAGAATTAACCATGTCGAATGACCAATGTCAAGATTACCTTCCAAACATCTTTTCTTTTTCCAGTACCAAGTACGCTGGGATGATGCAAGCAGAATATAGCTCGAACAATCCATGAGCATGGAGGTCCAGTAACTACTGCCGATGAAATGACAATCAAAGCCTTCACTAAAACCTCTACAGAAGGGACGAAAGAAACTTGATGATCCACGAAATTATCTGCGTCACTGCAGAGGTGCCAAGTTAGTTCCTAGAATGAATAAGTCGTTATTGGCATTTAGGTCCAAACCTTTCTAAATGTAAAATGAATCAAACTGTTAATAAAAAGCTAAGATCAGAGAAATTATAACATCAGAGCTAACTAAACACAAAACTGGCAGCAATATACCTAATGGCTTGGTGGGATGAAATAATAATACAAAAAGAGCTTATAATTTGTACCTGGTTCTAGAAGAAACGATTTGGTCCCCAGTTATGGAAAGAAAATACGAGAACTCGTCTAAAAGTGTAGTGGCTAGCTGTGAAGTTGCGAGGAAGATCTTTGTAACAGAATTGTAAGCTGTTTTACGAACATTCCAGCTTGGATGGCAAAGTAGAAATTGAAGCAACTGCATAGAAAAGAGATGAAACATAAGTGCAGAACAGGGAGAAACGGGTCAAAACACATGAACTAGCTTCGGCTACCTGTTATAGTGAAGTAACTGCATAGAAAAGAGATGAAACATAAGTCCGGAACAGGGAGAAACGGGTCAGAAAACATGAACTCATTTAGGCTACCTGTGATAGTAATTTAAATAAAAATGCTTCCAAAACCCTGAAATCAGGCAGGAGAGATAGTTAAAACTTCTACAAACAGTCAGACAACGAATCTCACATATTATGCAGGAGGTTTACCTGGAGGAGTGTGACGCAGTCGGATGCACTAAGACAACAAACGTTAGTCTTAGAATTGAAGGTTCAAGTTCGCGGGTGTCAAACTTGAAGAAAAAGCTCTGGAATCCACCAGAAAAAGGTAAAGCTCGAAAACTCGAAGACTTTGATTAATAATAATGGTAAAAATTCCCTTCAAACATAGCACCTAAGGTTCTTTATATAGAGAAAACCTTAAGCATAAAATAAGAAATTCCTAGAAATAAGGAAAGTTACTAGAGTCCTAACTAGAAAAGGAAAACACTTAAAATAGGAAATATTTAGAAATAACTTGTAAGCTAGAATAGATTAGGTATTGTAACCGTCTCCTGCATCAGTCTCCTCCACCTCCAAAGAACTCGTCCCCGAGTTCTTATCTGGATAAAGAACACCATCGGCATGATACTCATAGATGTCCGCTACGTTGAACGTATGAGAAATGCTCATATCGTCTGGTAGATCCACCACAAAAGCATTGTCATTAAGCTTTTTCAAAATCTTGAATGGACCATACTTGCGAGGCTGAAGCTTGCGATAAGTACCAACTGGAAACCTTTCTTTCTTGAGAAACACCATTACTTCATCACCTTCTTTGAAAACCTTGAGCCTCCGTTTCTTATCTGCTGCCCTTTTGTTCTTTTGCCCAGTTGCTTCCAATCTAGCTCGGACTGCTTCTTTAGTGTCCAAAATGTCTTTAGCCATAGCCTCAGCTGATGCACTAACTCCAGGAGCTTGCGGTAGGGGAACTAAATCAACCACATGCTTCGGGACAGAGGTATATACCAACGTAAATGGTGATTTCCCTGTTGCGGAATGTACGGCACTATTGTAAGCGAACTCGACCTGCGGTAGGGCTAAATCCCACTGCTTCGGTTTATCACCACAAACACTTCTGATCATGTTACCCAGCGTCCTGTTTGTTACCTCGGTTTGCCCATCACTCTGGGGATGAGCTGTAGAGCTTCGTTTTAAACTTGTTCCAAACATCCTCCATAATGTAATCCAGAAGTGACTGAGAAACTTAGTATCCCTGTCGGAAACTATTGACTTCGGAACCCCATGGAGACGCACAACTTCTCGAAAGAACAATTTGGCTATGTTGGTTGCATCTGCGGTCTTTCTACAAGCAATGAAGTGTGTCATTTTGGAAAACCTGTCAACAACAACAAACACAGAATCCACACCTCGCTGCGTCCTCGGCAACCCCAACACAAAATCCATAGATAGGTCCTGCCAGATATCGTCAGGAACAGATAACGGCATGTAAAGACCTGTGTTCTGAGATTGTCCCTTAGAAACCTGACAAACAAAACACCTCCGAACAATAGTTCCAGCGTCTTTCCTAAGATGCGGCCAATAGTACCTTTCCTCCAAGCTTGCAATTGTCTTATCCCGTCCCAAATGACCACTAAGACCACCACCGTGCAATTCTCGGATCAGCTTCTCTCGTAACGACGAGCAAGGAATGCACAGTCTGTCTCCTTTAAATAAATAGCCTTCGCGAATATGGAAGTCTGCAGAAGGATGCTTACCGTTGCACTTGTCCCATAATTCCTTGAATTCAGCATCAGTTTCATATAACTCTTTCAAAAATTTGAATCCCACAATCTCATGTGCTAAGGTAGTTAGCAAGGAAGCCCTTCTACTCAAAGCATCAGCTACCTTGTTAAGAGCTCCGGACTTATGCTGAATAATGAAAGGAAATTTTTGCAGAAAACTTACCCAACGAGCATGCATCTTATTTATCACTTTCTGGCTGTGAAGAAACTTCAGAGCTTGGTGGTCAGTGAACAGAATAAACTCTCGCTGAATCAGATAATGCTCCCATTGTCGAAGAGCTCGAAATACCGCATAGAACTCTTGATCATAAGTACTCCATTTCCGTCGTGCTTCGCTTAGTTTTTCACTAAAGAAAGCTACTGGTCTTTTTTCCTGAGATAACACAGCACCAATTCCTACACCACTAGCATCGCATTCCACTTGGAATATCTTATCAAAATCCGGCAATGCTAACACAGGAGCAGTACAAAGCTTCTCCTTAATCAATGCAAAACTCTCGTCTTGTTCTGGTCCCCAGTGAAACTTCCCTTTCTTCAAGCATTCGGTAATAGGCGCAGTAATAGTACTGAAGTCTCTTACAAATCTTCTGTAGAAAGTAGCCAAACCATGAAAGCTGCGTACCTCAGTTGCGGTTTTGGGAACGGGCCAGTCTTTTATTGCACGCACTTTGGCGTCATCTACTTGAATCCCATCCTTACCAACGACAAACCCCAAAAACAGCAACTTGTTTGTGCAGAATGTGCATTTCTTTAAATTCACGTACAACTGATTTTCTTGGAGGACTTGCAACACCTGCCTTATATGCTCCAAATGGTCGTCCTTGGCTTTACTATAGATCAAAATGTCATCGAAGTATACTACCACAAAGGACCCAATGAAAGGACGGAGAACCTGATTCATCAATCTCATGAAAGTACTAGGTGCGTTTGACAAGCCGAAAGGCATCACTAACCACTCGTACAATCCGTCTTTACTCTTAAAAGCAGTCTTCCATTCATCTCCAGGCCTGATTCGAATCTGATGGTACCCACTTCGAAGATCTATTTTTGAAAACACCTTTGATCCATTCAACTCATCAAGCATGTCTTCCAACCGAGGGATAGGAAACCGGTATTTAATTGTGATCTTGTTGATGGCTCTAGAATCAACGCACATTCGCCACTGATTACCCTTCTTCGGAACGAGAAGAACTGGTACAGCACAAGGGCTCATGCTCTCGCGGATTAACCCTTTCTTCAGCAAATCTTCGATCTGTGTCCTTACAATTTCATTCTCTTTAGGGCTCATTCGATAGTGGGGAAGATTAGGTAGACTAGAACTTGGGATCAGGTCAATGTGATGCTGTATATCACGCATAGGAGGCAGGTTGTCAGGTAGTTCCTCAGCAACTAACTCCTTGTAATCTTCCAAAATTTCTAACACCTCACGTGGAGTTGTTGTCTCTTCCGTCACGGCACTCATCAACCCCTTGACCACAACCGGATAAAAATACTGTGATTCCTTAATAGCCTTGTCAAGTTCTTTATCATCATGCGACATGACTAGGAAGCTTGACTTCTTCTCTTTTGCAATGCTACTAAAATCCTTGACAGGAGCCATTGCAATCTTATGATTCCCCCATGTAAACATGATCACATTGTCTCGTCCTCGGTACGTAATGTCGTTATCGTACTGCCATGGTCGCCCAAGGAGAATATGACAAACATCCATATCCAAAACGTCACAGATTATCTCCTCTTTGTAATGCTTACCAATTGATAAAGGAATTTTGCAAGTTTCACTAACTCCTACTTTAGATCCTTTCTTCACCCATCCGAGACCATACGGCTTCTCATGACGAGTCGTGGGTATTTTCAAATATTCCACCAGCTTTTGAGAAACTAAATTCTCGGAGCTCCCATTGTCAACAATCATATTGCACACCTTGTTCTGAATAGAACAATGCGTTCTAAACAGATTCTTGCGTTGTCCCTCTTCTTTGGATGATAGCAACAGTCGCTGTAAAACAATGCTGATTCGGTCCTCAGATTCCTCTTCCGCAAATTCCACTCCCTCATACTCCTCATTCTCCATAAAGTCGTCTTCCTCTTCTTCTAGCAATGCAACCGTCTTCCTACTGGGACAAACATTCGACTTGTGACCTGTTCCTTGACAACGGAAACACTTGTCGAGGGTTGGCCTAGCATAAGGAGTGTTCTGTTTCGGAGCGGTTGCTTTGTCCTTCTGAATGCCGCTAGTGGAACTACTTGTTCCTTTGTTGTTAGGGTTGGAATCTCTGTTAATCACGCCTTTGTCCTTCTCTCCGGCTGGTTCGACGTTGCTGTGAACCGAGGGTCTCCTGAAATTTGTGAAACCCCGCGATGATTTCTCCATCAATTCCGCTTTCAAGGCTAGACTGGATGCTTCTTGAACTGTCCACACAGTCTGTAACCCTATTTTCCCTTGAAGAGAGCCCTTTAAACCACTGATGTATCTAGCCACCTTCTGGTTCTCTGTTTCGTTTAAGTCACTACGTTCAGAGAAACGTAAGAACTCTGCTGTATAATCAGTCACGGTCCTGCTTCCTTGTACACAATCAATGTACATCTTGTAAAGAATCTGCTCGTAGTCCTCCGGTAAGAACCGCTCAGTCATTAGCTGTTTCATTCGGCGCCATGTTCTAACTGGACCCTTCCTCTGTCTTTGCCTTTGAATAGCCAATTTATCCCACCAAACAGCAGCAGTCTTCTTTAACCGGATAGCCACCATCTTGACCTGTTTACTCTCCGGGACTTCCATAACATCAAAGAACCGATCAACATCAATTTGCCAATCAAGAAATTCCTCTACACTCATAGTCCCATAGAACAATGGAATATCAGCTTTCACTCGGTAATCCTGATTATTTTGATTCCCTTGTTCTTCCACTTCCTCTTCCAATTCCTCCTCAGAGCTGGAATCATCAACAGCGACATGGTTATGTCTGCCTTGTTGTCGATTGTGTCTGCCTTGTTGATTCTGATTTCGTCCCATTCCTTCTCCTCCTCCTTGTCCTGCGTTAGCAATCTGATTGGTTAATGCTGCAATCTGATTAGTTAACGCTGCCACCAGATTTGCCAGGTTCGTGGTTGAGTCTTTCAAACTCGCTGTGAAACCCTCCATGTCGGCCTTGGTTACTGGTTGATCACCCATAGCTGTTCAAGCTTCGAAAAGAGTAGGAGATTGCCTGCTCTGATACCACTTGACGCAGTCGGATGCACTAAGACAACAAACGTTAGTCTTAGAATTGAAGGTTCAAGTTCGCGGGTGTCAAACTTGAGGAAAAAGCTCTGGAATCCACCAGAAAAAGGTAAAGCTCGAAAACTCGAAGACTTTGATTAATAATAATGGTAAAAATTCCCTTCAAACATAGCACCTAAGGTTCTTTATATAGAGAAAACCTTAAGCATAAAATAAGAAATTCCTAGAAATAAGGAAAGTTACTAGAGTCCTAACTAGAAAAGGAAAACACTTAAAATAGGAAATATTTAGAAATAACTTGTAAGCTAGAATAGATTAGGTATTGTAACCGTCTCCTGCATCAGAGTGTTCCACAAGGAGCACCGTAAGAAGGTCGACACATACTACACAATCATCACTTGAAAGTTTTGAGGCCTTTCACTTATGACATGCAAAGATAAGAAAGAAAACGAAGAAAAATGCAGCAGAGCAAAGGGTAAGTACCTTGCCATGGCAAGAGCAGATCACAGAGAAAGTACCAGAAGATATCAAAGTCACATGGGATAGAAAGAATGAAAAAGCAAGACCTTTTGGGTTTGTTAGGGTCTCGTTCTTCTTCTTGTTTTTTGTTGTCACTTCGTCTTCTGCAAGAAACTGAATTAGCCCTTCAATGTTTTCTTACTACTGGCTAAAGACTTATGAAGTAAGTTAGTAACATTTATGATAGTTTTGATTTTCTCCTTCTTCTTGAGAAATTGGAGAGCTTCTTGTTTATGGAGTTTCATGAGTTTCTCATCTTCTTTATCAGGCTCATGGCTTCTTCATCATTCATCCTTTTTATATATTCTTCTAACAATATATCATCCAACAACTGTTTTACATGTTACATCAGATTGATCAACCACTAATATCGTTTTAACGTTTTATACTTTCGTATAAGTTAGGGACCATACCTTAATAGCTTGCCCGTCTTCTTATATAATTACTTGATTCAAAAAGCTTTGAGTTGTAGTCTGCGAAAAACTGTAAACCAAATATTTTGAAATTATACTAGTCTGAAGCAAGATCTTAAGAGCATAAATTATAATGTACTTAAGTCTGAAATGTGAATTTTACCTGGAGATTAGTGTCAGGGGGGTCCATTGTTGCTATTTTGGGCCAAGGATTCTCTGATGTAGTTGAGTCTGCTGTCTACTTCCAAGTACAAACCATCTTTCTGATCTTCTCTCTATAGAATCACGGAGTAGATGTTAAGAGCAATTAGAGACGTTACACACATGTAAAAGCTCTATTATTCTCCACTTCAAGGGTGTGTCTGAATAGTCTTGTATCGTGTTCATCGTTGTGTCCTTGAAACTCTTTGTTGAACTTAAGGCCAAGAACTTCTGTTCCATTTCCTCCATCTGCCTACATGACAGTATGTTTTGCTTGTCATTTTATTTGAGGAGCATTCTCCTCTGTTCTGTCCAGCTTTATTGAAGTTCTACCAGCTTTATTGGCTCTTCTTCATTGGCGGATGGATAATGTCTCAATGGTGTTCATACTTCATCTTGCTGAATAATACAACTCATTACACATGCACCTGCAGGACAGAGGCTAAAACTCACTTCTTCCTCTTTAAGAATCTTGGTCCTCGTCCAACTGAGACAATAGAAATAAAACCAGATTAGGTAGACACTATAACACATGAGCTGTTTAAAACAGTCATGCTGTGCCAACTGTTAAGTAGCTTACACTTATTTTACTCGGGAGAAACTGCAGTTCTTTGATTATAAGTTTATAACTGTAGCACAATTGATTCATGTCATTTCAGAGCATCTTTGTCATATCTAGTTTCCTTGGCAGCCTAAGCATAGTCTCACAAATATTATATAACAGTGATTCAAGAACTAATAATGTGGTTACCATTATGAGACCACCAACAACCCATCAACTAGATTGTGGGGATTTAGACATTGCTTCTCAACCCATCAACAAGATTGCCACTGCTTCCATTTGTTCCTTCCTTGTCAGCTTTGTTTCCAATAATGATGAGCTGAAAAATGTATGGGACTGGAAGACAACCAAGCCCACCAGAAGAAAGAGGAGCTGAACATGTCCTAGTTACTGAAACTTCACCCGCCATTTCTGAAAATAATTTATGTTCTTCTCTGGGAAAGATCATGAACATAAATGTCCTGAAAAATTAAACAGTATCATCTGTAAGTGGCAACAAACAGAGACAGAGATGGCATTATTTGAGACATAATTGAAAAGACACACCTTCAATTTGTGAATAGAACAGTGAGCGGTTTTTATCTCTCATGACCTGATGCAAAACTGGTAACAAACAACAAAGCCGTTTGTTAACTATTGAACAAAAGATTACTTCTTGTATATATATATACTTCTTAAAGGGCACAACGTTCTCTACCACCTTCATAAAACGTCACAAGGTTCTCTTTTTCTCATCACAAGTTAAAAAATGAGCCTGTGACCAAAAGTGGACCGAAAAGAAGGCATTTCAAAGAGTAAAACACATAATCGTAGGTCACGAATGGAAGATAGGTAATCGCCTTAAGAATGCCTTCTAAGAGTTTGCTAGGGAAATCAGCGGTATGGGAGTTTTTTTGGAGATAGTCTCAAATTCCCTATACTTAATAAGAAACTTTTAAAAACTTGAAACTCGAAAAAAACACAGGAAAGGAAAAGGGATTATGGAGTGTTTACCATATATGTTCCTGAGATCTTTAGGTAGTCGTGTCGCCAAAACTGCAACGTACTCTTGCCACTAAAAATAGGAGTTTATAGATATCAAGGCGATTAAGTCTCTCTTAAACAACCTGGAAGATATGTTTCAAAGTCAAATTTTCTAATAGAAATTTTGATCAAATTAGAAAAAGAAATTGTGTTTATCTTATATATGTTATGTTCATAGCCGGCAATTATGTTTCGAAGCTTCCTTTCTTTCAGCAGAAGGATCATCAAGATCAAGCTTGGCTATAAGTTCACCAGCCTGTCAAAAAAACATACAAAACTGTAGGAAACCAATTTTTGATTAGCAGTGGAGCGGTTTTTCACGTGCATTGCTTGTCCTTCAGAAGTTTTGAAATGGATAACTCTTGACGCAAGTGAGAGAAGTCACCTGTTGTTTGTAGTAAACAAGTTCTTCTGTCAATGAGAAGACAGATTACCGTCCAACTGAAATGACAGTGAAAACCAACCAAGGAGGTGAGATTATCTAAAATCACCTAACTGGGTGACACATCTTTCTGTTTAGTAGTATGGAACAAAATCAGAGAATTTTCATGCATCTACAGACCTTCATGTATTTCTGATACAACTTCTAAATTTTTCAACTTCTAGTTCTGTTCGGGCTAGTGAGCCTTGGTAAAACTACATGTTTAGTGCTTTGATACTATACGCATACCGTATATTTACTTCCTGTAATATTCAAAGACACTTGAGAATGCACAAGAGATATATGCTGCAATTTAAGAGAACAAAACTAAGCTACAAAATCAATACGATAAATACAAAAGAGAGTGATGATATTAGATTACCTCTGGAGGAATTCCTTACTTCTCAAGACATAACGTAATCCAAAACCACAGAAGCACTGGTCATGGATGCTTTATGAAGAAATAGAATATCTCGTCACAAGATAGGAAACTTTCCAAGAAAAATAGATATCTGAGAAAGAGGGTCTTACATAGAGTGGTCCACTGATAACAGCCGGATACCATGAAGGCCTCTCTGCTCTGACCCGCATAGCAATCTTACTTGATGCAAATTCTATCCTGAAATCTGAAAGCAGGGGAAGTCTACCATCTTACTTGATGATCTTGTAGTTTGAAATTGGATAGAAATAATTAAAATGGAAAACAGGAACCTACCATTATCTCACATTCTAATGTAGGATTTCGTGGAGATATTCTAGAGCAGTGAGCTTAGTTTGTGTTGTATTCTCAGAGTCCCCTGTAATGCACACCCTCAGCTTGAGGTATTGATGTTCCATCGGAACCTGGACAAAGACATATTAATATATGGTAGTAAAATAACATCTACGCTTTCTGTAAGTCTAACAAGTAAATATAACAGACATTTTACTCTACTGGGTATGTTGATAGTGTCTCTTTTTCTGGTGCGGCTTGCTCCACTTGTCGTGTAGTTGGACTACCTCTTTCTTTAGCTGTAAGAAATGGGATAGATCATAAGTCATAACTCAAACCTCCAGAATACTATAGATCAATTAGATTGTGAACAAGAAAATAATTAAATGCAGGGAGAAATTATAAGTGTAACTGCCATACCAAAGAAGATAGTCATAATAGTGAGTTCATGGTACAACTTATTTCCTAAGATCTTAACATGGTGAGGTCCTTCCAGTTGTGCCGGAAACGACCGAAGCCTAGCCAGCACTTCTCAACTCACTTTCCAGTTTGGCCAACTCCCTCTGCAAATACAAAGAAATTTACCGGATATGTAAAAAGAATGTAACAAAAGCATACAGAGACAGAATCGATTAAATCTAACAAGGAAAACTCTATCACAACCATTAAATCTAACAAGATCAACTATATCTCATCCGCATATGTATCTTAAGCACAAACATTCAACATCAGCAATCAATCTTATCACTCACCTATACCTCCACATGCCAAAGATCTCAGTCCGTCTCACTAGCAGAAACTAAAACCTGATGAGAGAAAAACAAACCTTAAGAACTCGACGTGGGCACCATCAAGCTGTCTGGTTCACTTACCAACCCAAATCATATGAGTATAACAATCGTTGTAGAGACCAGAATTCGAGTCTAGCCACGTTAATGATTGTTCAAAAGGCAAGGGCAAACAGTCATAAGAATTCTAGAACTTGGATGTTTGATTATGGGATGATCCAGCGTTAGTCCAGCAACGTGCATGAAACCGAGTGAATTAGGCTAATCAGATGCTAAAAAGGTGAAAAAACCATTAACTATTTTGCATCTTCTAGACACAAACAATTAGCATCAAGCTTTGTGGCAAATAAGAGATCCAATTTAAAATCTTTATTTGTTTTGTTACCTATCTCCTCGGTCACTTCGTTTAGTGAAATCAAGATTTGAACTCTCTGCGTAGTGGCTTAACCACCAGTGTCAAAGCTCTGATCATCCTCTGAAGATAATGAATCCTCGATTTTGCATCTATCGATCGATGTTAACCCCTTTAAAACGAATCGCGAATTGACCTAAAACTCAATTCTCTTAAAATACAAATTCCAAAAATCTCTTAAAAACTAATCAAATCTCAATTGACATACCTCCGAACATATAAAGAAGAACCCAGAAAGTATTGTTATAGCGTTGAACACGATCGTGACTTTACCTTCCTCTTCTTCCGCATGATCTCGTCTTTACTCCGTCAGAAAATCCACCGTCTTCTGCTTCTCGTTCTTCATCTTCTTCAACATCGCCTCCTACTCCACTAGATCGTTCTCCAACGACTTCGTTTCTTTCCCCTTCGCTGAGATCGGTTACAACGGAGGCTCGACGATCTAACTTTTCTGCTTCAACGCTTCTCAATTATTTCGCCGGAGATGGAGATGTCAAAATTTGGTAGAGCGTCTGAGAGCCCAACGGTCAGAATTCGAAATCCAAAACTGAGACTTTTGTGAATTTAAAAGACTCTTGGTCTCCAAGGCTTACGCAGAGTTATATCACTCGTTTCGATTTTGAGTTTTTGACCGTTTGAAGAGTGTTTCTTCAACCCTTAAACCAAAGCAAATTTACATAACCAAATTCACATTAAACCGAGTCCATAAACCGTTGTTTATTAAAATCAATTTGGTTTAATTGAAGGACACATGTCCTTTTCTTATTCGATAATGTACCCAATCATACGTCGTAATCGATGATAAAGTCTATAACCGCAATTTGGGGCTTCATCTTTAGCGCCTTGTTGGGGATTTTGTTCTGTATCATTACCCATAAGCTCAATCTAACAATCGGAATCATTCCTTCGCTTAATGTAGCTGCTGATCTTCTCGGCTTCTTCTTCGTCAAATCGTGGACTGGGTTCTTGTCTAAATTAGGGTTTTCACCTAAACGCTTTACTAAGCAAGAGAACACTGTTATTCAGACTTGCGTTGTCTCCTGCTACGGTTGTGCTTATAGCGGTAAGAATCGTTACTTGCTTGCAAATGGGTTAATAGTAATCTTCCTGATTTGTTTACTTTTAGTTTCCTGTGTGTTGATGATGAACAATGGGTTTGATTTTGAAGCTGTTTCTATATTCATTATGAGTCAGTGTCAAATGTTAGTCTCTGTTAATAAATAGTGTTTATGGTAAGAATCAGGTAACTTTATCAACAGGAGGATCAACATAGCCCAATTCCACATAGTCTTCCCAAAATCAGATGAATAGCCCAATTCCACATAGTCGATATGCAGCAGATGCACATTGATGGCCTCTGACACATGGTGTTCCAAGCCACCTTCATGGCTACAAACCTGAAAGACTCTAAATTTCTGGATAATAAGATGGATCATGCCCATCTCTTATTTATGCCTTGGAGCCAAAGTTGAGCCACACACGAAATTGAATCAGCTTCAGCCATTTTTTTCTCGGTAGAACTTTGGTAAGGCATTCATTTTAGTGTAGTTTACGTATAGACATAGCTAGTCTAGGGAGATTTGTTGGGGATTGTTGCTTTGTTTGACAGCTTACCAACTGAGTTGGATTTTGAAAGGAAAGTAGGGGAAAATGTTAAATTTGCTAAAGAATGAAGGAACTCAGTTGGTTTTTTTTCAATCTTGTGCAGCTTTCATGTCGTTTTCCCCTATGCCATACCCTTTAGACTGTTTTTATTCTTGCTTTTGACTCTGTTTAGAGCCTCTTGCTCGTTGTAGATTGATTTTATTTTGTGACTATATATGGCTACATTATGGTTATTAGGTAGGGGTGCTTACATAGCATAGTCAATGGGTAAAAATCCAGAGTCATCTTCATGTTTAAACTAGTCCAAAAACCGCAAAGAGCAACACTTCTGCTTTAGTTGTATCGTTGAAATGGTAAGGATTAGGATAATCTTGATAGGTTTGAGCTGTCTTGTCTTTTTAGATTTGTATTAATGTTGCAAATTTGAGGCGTGGAAGGTTTGACCGTGTATCAGGGAAGGTTTCAAGAAAGGAAGAAGTTGAAGAACAAGAGCATAGATTAATTGTCAGGTTGTTTCTGATTACATGGAAACTTGAAAGGGTAAGAACAATCAAGAAATAGAAGCTAATCTTGTTTAGTTCATGCTTGTTTTGTTGTCCTAAGCAGAGATAAACACTGGTTTTGTTAATTCACTTCACTCGTAAATTTTTACGTCAAATCTATCATCTTGTAACACTTGCTTATTTCATTAAATGCATAACTCTTTCTTTGAGTGTTTGTCTCATGCTAGTCCGAATTTGAAAGCTTAAGGCCGCCGAATCCACTATCATTTTATATAAATTTTTTTTTCAAGTTAAAAATGTTCCATGAACATACAAAACTCAGAAATATTGACTCTGTTATTTGGTTACAAACTTTTTTTTTTTTGGTCAAAATTTGGTTACAAACTAAATAACCAAATAACATCATCAAAACACGAGTTGTTTCAATGACTTCACCAACCATACATGAATCTTTCGTTTCATTTCGCTCTCATTCCCATATTTTCATGTTCATTAACAAAAACTGCTGTTGGTAATAAAAAAATTCAGCAGAATTTGAACTATGAAAATGGAGATAGCGGTCGAGCGAGAAAGAAAATCACAAAGCTAGTATAATCCAACAGTTACACCAATCCGTGCGTTGTTTCTATATTTTCATGGTAAAAAAGAAGTTGTTCTAGTAATTGGAGAATAAACACATTTATTCTGGTGGCAAGCTTTGCAATATGAGAAGCTTAACTTGAATCAGAATTCATCCACACAACTACAAGAGTCACAAGAGAAGCATAGATTGAAGTAGGCAGCTTCTGCACAACTTTGCCAACTCCCGGGACACCTTCCGTAGCCTTCTTCGTCGCAATAGCCACAGTTGGAGCCACAATCAAAGATATGATCAAACCCTGACTCACCACGTCAAATGTCTCAGCCGTAATCTGCTCAATAAACTTCACAAACTCATCCCTATCAATTTCTCCATCCAAGTTGATATCGCAATCCTGTTAGAAGAACGTCACACAAACAATATGAGCAATCAAATTTACCAAATTTACCAAATTTTCTAAAGACTTGAGTTGTCAGGTTGTCTCCATTTTTATTTTGTGTAACACAAAATTTTTTTGCTAATACTTAAAAATCAATGTTAATAAGCGTTTGATCCAGCCAATTAATCGGAGATTAAGCAACGATTTTTTTATCCATAATATATACTTTTTACATGTTTTGAAAATGTAAAAGTTAAATATATTACTTAAGACTATAAATTTTTTTAAAAATGTGTTTCTATTTATTCCAAAAACTTCATTGAAAATAAAAACTTCATTGAAAAACCTTTTAAAACACTTTAATCAGTTGCCTAGACCAATTAGTCGTGGTCGCCTAGACCAAAAAAATTAGTAAAATTTTCCGATTTTTGAACCGATCTTCCAAAATTAGAATCCAGATGATTGCATTAGTAGAGTTACAAATAGTGGTTAACACTAAACGTTAAAGCTAAACGCAAACGCAAAAAGAAACATCCGTTTGTGTTTAAAAACTGCGAATTCGTTTTCGACTTATTTCTTTTCACAATTAAACGAAAAAGCAGTAACTAAGCGTTTGCGTTTTAACAGTGATCTTAAGAAAGTAAAAAGTACCGTCATAATGGCTTTGACAAGATCCTTAGAAGGTGGATCGAAATGAGGACCAGGCAATCTCTTGTTTATGTCACTGACAACATAACAAAAACAAGAGAAAATTGTCAGAGATTATTATAAAAAGTTGTAATGAAAATGTTATGGAAACAAAGATTTTACTTGTAAACGAGAAGCACCGCGATGTATAACTCTTCAAAAGTAAGATTGGCTCTTCCGGTTTGAATCTTGAACCGATCGAAAACACGATCACATATCGCTTGTACCTGCTTATGTCTCCACTCTTTACCTGTGATTACCATTGCGAATCAATATTTTACATAACATAATAAGAAACAATTTCATTATATACTTGACCATAAAACCGATTACGAATCAATTAAAAATAACAAATCGAAAGCAATTTTACAAACCTCGGAGCTTGTTAAAGACTTGTCCCATGGCGATGAGTGATCTTCTTCTCGTCTGATTGCACAAAATAATTTGCTGATTGATTTTTTTTTTTTTTTAATATGTGGATCTGAGTGGGAGGCGTGAGGCTCTGTTTCCACACCCAAAGACTTTTTTGTCCTCATTCGTTTACGAGTTTCGGCCCATTTATACGATCAAGCTAATAAATAATGGGCTCAAATGAGCCTCGATCGTTAATGGACTTATATATCTAGTATAAGCTAAATTCCTCTAGGATGCATTTGACTAAAAAAGATATTTATCGAAAAGATCAATCAAAATGAATATTTATTTATTTATTTTTTGAATCAAATATAAAATTTATTGGACAACTGTTGGAATTTATTTTTATTAGGCTCCGACTAGGAGCTAAGCTCTCATGCGACGTCTAAATGACCGTCTTGACCGCATAAAATTACATATAAATTATTAATATATTTTTTTAATTTCTAATTAAAGTTTATTTATATATGTAGTTATAAATATTCATATATTGTATAATATAAATATAAATAAATGATAATCAAGTGGATGATCAAGTGCTTTTTTAGAGCGTCATTTTATTGTTAATATAAATATTTATCTATAAGCATCTATAAATATTTATATATTGTTTAATAATAATATAAATAAACGTTTATACACATTGATACACTTGGATGATCAAGTGCTTTTTAGAGTGTTGTTATAAACCACATGTTGGATGGACTCCATAACCGTGGACCTTATGCATATTCTAGAAGGCCCATGTCCATGTCCTAGAAGGCCCATGCCCATGTTCTTGAAGATTCTCCTTATGACGGCCTATATTGTACTTAGTGGGCTTTTGGGCTTTAGGGTTTACTAACCCAATGAGGATTTGTCTCCTCTCATTATGTATATATATGTAACGAATTTCATTCATGAATACATAGAAAAACAATAAGTTTACAACACGTTATCAGCACGAGTTGCTCTTAACAAAACCCTAAAAACCCTAAACCTAAACTCGCCGAGTTCGCCCACCGCTTGAAGCTACCAACCGATGACCGCTCGCTTTGCCCTTTGATCGGCGATCTCCTCCTAGCTTCATACGTTCGTGATAAGCTTGATAACCGAGGTCTTTAGCTCCCGGTTCCAATCCATACAACCCCAAAAAGGTGAAAGGTAAAAACCAAAAAACCCTAAAAGCTAAAGAACCGATTATGAATTTGAACCTAACGATCGGTGGAAACCTAAAACGAACCTTGAATGGTTAAGTAATCTTATTGCTTGAAAGATCCGTTTGTTTGAATCGTTTAGGTTGCTAGAAAAGGATTGATTATTGCTTAAACTAAACTCGCCTAAGTTGCTAGACAAGTTCTATTGTATAAACGATTGCTTCTTACTTATGAAAACCGATCATGAACTTGAAATTAACAAACGGCTAAGACACTAAAACGAATCTTGATTGTTATAAACGATTGCTATTGCTTGTGAGATCCGATTATTTGACTCGTTTAGGTTGCTAGAAAAGTTGGTTATTGCTTATGCTAAAATCGCCTAAGTTGCTAGAGAAGTTTTATTGTCTAAACCTAAAATCGTAAAACGAAAATACATAAGGCTAATAACCGAAACTTTAAAGATCTAAAAAAACCTAAAACTAAAACGAACCTAATCCGAAAATTCCATATGTTTAAACGGCTTGATTGAGATTGTTTTAGGTTGTTAGATTGTTTGCTCATTTGATTGTTTACATGCTTATCACCCTAAAACTAAAATTGCATGAACCCTAGAAAACCTAGAAAAGATAATCCTAAAAGAAATCTTTAAAACCCTAAATTCTAGGAATCCTTAAAATCCTAAATAAAATAGGAAACCCTAAATTCTAGGAATCCTTAAAATCCTAAATAAAATAGGAAACCCTAAATTCTAGGAAATCCTTAAAATCCTAAATAAAATAGGAAACCCTAAAATCTAGGAAATCCTTAAAATCCTAAATAAAATAGGAAATCCTAAAACCCTAAATAAAATAGGAAACCCTAGATAATAGGAAATCTTTAAAACCCTAAATCTTAGGGATAATAGGAAATCTTTAAAACCCTAAATCTTAGGGATAATAGGAAATCTTTAAAACCCTAAATCTTAGGGATAATAGGAAATCTTTAAAACCCTAAATCCTAGGAATAAAAAGAAATCCTAAAATCTTAAATAAAATAGGAAATCCTAAACCCTAAAAAAAAAAAAATATTAAATAAAATAGGAAACCTTAAAACTCTAAAACCCTAATCAAATTAGGAAATATTTAGAAAAGGAAATTTAATCCTAAAAGGGGAAGTCAAATCCTTAAGTAATCGATTCATAGTTCGGTTTTAAAACCGCATGACATTAACGATTACATGATATTGACTCAAATTCCCCTTTTTGCTTGTAGATGTCGAAAACAAAGAACCTCAAGTTTTCTGCACTCAATGTTTCCGGCGACAATTACTTACAATGGGCATTGGACATTAAGATAGCCCTTGAATCCAAAGATCTCGCCGAGTGCATTATGGAAAACAACGAGTGTGAGAAGAGGTCGAAGTTTAAGGCGATTGCGTTTATACGCCATCACCTAGCAGAGAGCCTTAAGAATCAGTACCTTACTATCAAGGATCCTCTCGACCTTTGGGTCGAGTTGAAGAATCGATACGATCACCAAAAAACGGTACTTTTACCGAAAGCCCAATATGATTGGAAAAACCTCAGGATCCAGGATTTCAAATCTGTGGAGGAGTATAACTCCGAGCTTTTTAAGATTGTCTCAATCCTGAGGCTATGTGGTGAAAAGGTGACTGATGATACCTTGCTTGAGAAAACATACTCAACATTCCACCCTAATAATGTGGTACTTCAGCAACAATACCGTGGAATGAAATTCAAAACATATGCAAGTTTGATCTCCTGCTTACTCCTTGCTGAAAAGAATAATGAGCTATTACTAATGAATAGCTCAATGAGACCTCCAGGATCCACACCGTTGCCGAAAGCCCATAAGGCCGAAATAGCCAAAGAACCTCGAGAGACCAAAGAAACCAACTACGTCCATAGAGGGTATCACGGTCGTGGCCGTGGTAGAGGACGTGGTGGTGGTCGTAGCAACCATAACTCCTACGGCCGAGGAAACCACCATGGTGGTAGAGGCCGTGGGAACA